AAAACCCTGATTCCAGATCAACGGTGCATTTCAGCTCCATTATCCTGAGTTAACAATTAGCGTATGAACCAATCGTTGGTCACCGGCAACTATGGGACTGCATCTTCACTGCCTTGTGGATTGAACCTTAAGGTCCTATGCTCCGGGTGTTGTCCTCTAAGAAAACCACATGTTTCGGTCAGTATCTTTGATCATTGTTGTCTCCGAAAGATAGTTGGCATCCAATGGCAACACCACGTTAGTAATGCAGAGGTTCGGCATCATGTGTTTGTGCACAGCAACGCTAATTCAATTAGTGTCACTATCTTGAAACATCGACTTCGGTGGATTGAACATGTTCTGCAAATGTCGTCTCAGAGAATTCCTCGTTGTGCATTATTTGCCGACGTTAGGACTGGTTAGAAAAAGGTAATGGTGATCAGTGTATAACATGGTGTCGTGTTATGAAAGGAAGTTGCAAAAGGTTGGCTTTTTTGGTCTTTCACGACTCCTTGGTTCGATTGCTAGAGATGGCGAAACACAGTGGCTAGAGAGGTCATCAGATATGGCTCAGAATAGAAGTCAGTGGCGATCCTGCTGTAGCCTTCATTTACTTTCTTCATAAAAGGTGGCCGTAACTCCTTTAACTGAAAGAATTTTTTCACTACCATAAACTAATGTGTAGTCGTCATTGTTTTTTATTCTTCTTATACGCACACTACATTCTTTATCTCTTCTCATTCTTATTGATATTGTGTGGTGCATATGTATCTGTTGCCTCTTGTACCAATATTTATGTGTTCTAATAAATAAATAGATAAGTACTCATTAGTATTCAAAGATATTAGTCTATTTTTTCATTCGTTCGTTATTTTTAGTTCTCTTATTTACTGATACATTTATTGTCAGTACGATTTTGAATTGACCATGTTGCGCGTGTTTTTGTTGAGAATAGGGTGATTTTAGTGAACATATCACTCTAACCGTGAGTTTTGCAATTCAAGCAAGTCGTTTATTTATTTTGGTACCATTGATTGTTTAAACATCTTTATTTGTGAATAAATATTCAGAGGTACCAAACCGTTTCCTTACTCTGCTTACCGCATCTGAGTTGTTCTAGTGTTTTCGGTAGTTTGTCAAACAGTGATAAAAAGACACATATTCTATCAGTAACAAGTTCTTGAGAATGTGGAATTTCAATCAAACCATAAGCTATTCAATGTCGTTTCGTCCTAACATGCGACATTTCTGCAGAACACTTCTTCAAACATCTCCATGAGGATCGGACTCGGAGCCCTTGGTCTCGTGCATGAACTAATGCATTAGATTTCCTTTGTTAGTCTGCGAGCAATAGAGCGGGTGTTTTCCGAGACTGCGGTGTTTACATTTTGAAGACAAGTGAGATGGTCGCCCAATATCGTGGACGGATTGAGGTTGTTCTAAAACACCGTTAGTTTCCGTTCAATGGTTTAGATGTTGGGCGAGCGTGCGCATGACTAAATTTTCTCAGTTCGATTCTCGTGGACAGGGTTGTGGATGTGAAATCCTGAAATGCCCATCCTAAGAGGAAACGACAATCCACTGATCCTATATTTTCAATAGTGGTCTAACACTGATCGGTTCATGATTCCAATAGAATGAACATTTGATGATGATTGATAATTATTTTGCGTATGTATACAAATTCATCTTCAGGTCAGAACAAACAAGATTTTCTCATATCCTGATGTTGCCCAGAATTCATCTATCCATCAGCTGAATTAACGCAACATCAATGGATTTATTTCCTTGCACGAAGAAAACTAAATTTAGTGCATTATTCTCCTGTATAGTTATTAATAATGCTATGTTAATCCCGCCAAACGAACGATTAATAACTTATTCTTAGCCGGTTTTTCATATGTCTGGACGTATCTGAGTTTTGAATAAGAACATCAGAGTAATCAAAAAGCTAGGATAGAGGTTTTAGTTTAAGGGTCACCTATGCTTAGAATACAAACTTTCTTGAACAGTTTTCGAATCAGTTGATACATTGACTAGCTATAATTGTGTATACTGACTATTAAGTTACAAATATTTTACGAAAATTGCATAACATTATTTGATTCCTATCAATCAAATTGTCTACATTTTCGAAACTTTCTGCAGAGTTATCATAACAACAATCAGGTCAAGAAGAGATACAATAGAAGTACGTTAATTAGAACAGACTGTCTCGAATTGTTTGAACTTCGCCAATGCCAACCCATCCAGCGGTTTATAGGAATCCACATAGTTTGGTTGTTTCCATGTATATGATCTCCAGACACGGCCAATTCAAGCACATAAAGTATACAACACCGCACGACATTCATGGGAGCTTCAGATTTCAACTGTGAAAGGTGACAGCAATCAACCAACAAATAAAAACTGAAAAATTAAGAATCCTACATATGCTCAACCGGCTGCCGACCGTCTATTTGAAGTCGGATCTCTTGTAAAGTGTTTCGGATAGCGATAGTAAAATTGTCGGAATGATCATGAATTCAGTTTTACAGTTTCCTGAAATTCTACACACCTTTCGAGCCACTTAGTCAAACAACAGTCTACTACATTTTCCGTCACACCATCAATTCAGCATTAAATCGGACTTCATACTAAGTCATCTGATTTGTAATAAGAGTACCGAAATGCCTCGAGAGATGTATAAGCTGGTTTTTGGACGTAGTCAAATCTTGAACACTAGTGAAAATGTTACTCAAAATGTTGTTCACAAAAGCCCTGGTCACATATTAAACCTGCATCATTCAAAACAGTAAGCATGATAAACTCACTGATTATGTCAAACGTAATCAACGATTTATACATTTACACTCTCATAATGTTACTATGAACAATTCTATGGGGCAAATGAAAACAGCAAACACTAATCATCAGACATTTATATCAGTATAACCACAGAACAAGTGTTTCTTGTCAAAGTGGCTACGAAGTTCGATGCAACTTATCAAATTGAACATTCACGTTTATTCAGTTTGGACACACAAAAATATTTCCAATATGTGTTGATATTGACATTTTCACAGTAACAAAACTTGATGGAAAATCAAAGAAAATAGACGAATAATCACAAAATGAGCTTAATAGTCCTCGTGCTATAAAACGGTCGTAGACCGGATAAAGAAATGTAGAGTGTTTAAGAGAAGAATGACCAGCATTCACAAATGCTTTGAAAAGAAACAATCAAAGTCAAGCAATCATGTCAAACATTGCATATGACCACTGTCATGTAACTTGATACTGTTTAAAGGTCAACAGTTCACTAGACAAGATTCATTTCGTTGAACTTATTCTTGTAAGTTTAGATCACGGTCTGTAAGCGTGAAATTGCCTCGAGCTGTTAAATGCTTTTAAAGAAGTCACGTTATTTTCTGTGATCTCAATACACACATTCTTTCGACATACTGATAAGTCAAACAAATTCAAGTTAACTCTCAACAACAAATTCTAAGCATAAAAGGATCTACTGAAATAGGAAATACTACTATGGAGGACAACTAGAAAGGGATCAAACAACTGTTAACTTCAACGTATCATGATCTCTTTTGAATCGATTGACAAGATTCAAGAAAGGAATAATTAGAAGACAGCAGTTAACAAGAGCCGAACAAGAACAGATAAGTTCAGAGCACAAGCTGATGCACATTAACTGACAAGCAGGTGAAGAGGAGCATTAAATCCGACAAGCAGGAATATGTGGAGGACTTAGCAAAACAGCGGAAGAACCTTCAAGTGAACGAAATATGTAACAGCTATGTTACGCGACGAATAAACTGTTAGAGAGATTAGGAGTCCAGGCTAGGACATAGAAGGCAGGACAATCACTCTGATTCACGTATATAATTACAGATATGTGGAACATTTTGAAGAACTCCTGACTGAGTGATCTCCATTTCATTCACCAGAAATCGAAGCATCAGTTACAGAACTTCCTATAGATGTCACTCCACCAACGTTTGAAGAAACCATGATCATGTTCATCAGACAGATCAAGAGTGGGAAATTAATAGTACCTGACAGTATACCAGCTGAAGCATCGAATTCGGACACAGAAGTAACTGTTTCGATACTAAAGAGGGTACAATAGTAAGAACAAACATCAAATTAATGTCTAAGAACGTCGGATTCACAGATTGTTGGGTAGAAGATATCGCAGTTGAATATGCCATAATTGAAATTTCTTGGACATTCGTCGCTAAAACTTCAAAGAATTTCTCTGACTAAGAGGATGTAAATCACATTATTCAATATATATAAGTTGCAAAATCTTGATGAACAAACACTTGAAAACACAAACAATCTTATCAATTTTATGGAGTATAAGTACTAATTACACACCAGATCAACGTTTCAAAATTTTATCAGAACATAAAAATTAAACAAATGTACCTTTACAGATAAGCATGCATTCTGGTTAATAGCTATAATAATTAATAGTAGTATTAATAACAATAATAATAATAATAATAATAATAACAATACCAATAATGATAATAGTAACAATAATAGCAATTATTCATAAAGTAACTGAGCTTGTATAGCCATTTTTATATCATCTTTGTACTATAAAACATATTCTCCTCCCTCTGTAATAAAGAAAAATGTATATTGCAATAGTGGTAGAATCATTGTACACATATATATACGTTTCAGTGACGAATGGATATTAGAACATTGAAAATATTAATAATAATAATAATAATACCATATGAAAACCAAAATATGAATACGTAACATTGAATATGATAGAAACAAGAAAAATGAGTATTTTGTTACAGAGACACAAGTACAGATGAATTGATAAACAGATCGATTGATAGATCTGTGAATTCACAAATCAGTAATCAATTAATTCAACAGAATAAAACTGTCTTATAGTGAAATCGTTGATTAATCTGAAAGAAACGCATTCAAAGTAATGTGATTGTATTGGGAACATTTTTATTTAACCAATTACTGATAACATCACGATGAGTTTTTGTTCATTTCATGTTTTCCTTTGACCTTTTAAACAAATCATTTAATCCACGTTTCAGAACATGATTTTCAAGTAGTTTTTGTCCAGAATTTTGCATAGCAAGTACCTAGTGAATGAAAAGCCAACCATTTGTATTCATGAATTCGAAAAACAAAATTTTAATAACTAGTACGGTAGTAATCAGTTCGGGCGGGTGGGGTGAAAACACCTCAATCCGTGGATTGGATTGCTGTTGGTTCGAGATATGAAGCATACATCCTGAGTGGAATCTTTGATATAATAACTCCACCAACTAATAAACCGTCAGAAAATGTGGTTAGAATACTTCTTCTATCTGGATTTGTAGTATCTTATCACATCGATTAAAGTTTATCTGGCTGACAGTGTCCAGAATGATAATGAAAACACAGCTAAATTATCAACCTCAACGAAATCACATCACTCAACTCATCCAACTAACCTGCACAACTTCCACGTCATGAATAGAAATTTGTTCCTGTGTAAAAAAGTATTTCTTAAATAAACAGATTTTTGAAGGTTTATCGGTGTTAACTGCCTTTTGCTATTTTTTTCAGTGTACGCTTTAGTGATGTACTTGCTTAAACTAATTCAAGATTATACCGGTCTATGTGTTCACTTTGGTAATATATAACAGTGATAACTATTGATTAAGTGTTATACACGAAAACAACCTTCATCTCATAACATCCAACGTCATATACGTAGTGACTAAATTTAGAAAACGAATAAGAATTTAAGAAAAAATTGAACTAACTTCTTCTTGATCCGGTATGTTATTCAGTGTGTAATGACGTTTGGATAATATTTTAAGAATAACAGTTAGTACACACCTGTAAAATATAACAAATAAACATAATTCATATCTTGATACACTTTCCATTGACTGCAGAATCACTTACCTGATGTTCTATCCATTCTGTCAACACTATCATATCCCGCTAATAGTTTAGTTGTATGAATTATAGCTTAAAGTGTTTTATAATTTGGATTTCATTAAACAATGAACAATTCGAACAGGAGTTGACTGAACTGAATTACTTATATTAATGGATGTTGTTTTGCCAACAATAACATAAAAAGATGATTGAATGCTACAAATGAATTTTCCTGAATCACAAGCCCATACAACTTAGAAAGCATTCTCGAACTAACAGGTGATGAAATGACTAGTATTACTAACACCATAAAACTATTCTTCCGTTCATGTCAAAACTAACTATGCCAATGTATTTTCCATCTACATGGTAAATGGTCAGTTGTTCATAATTATATTTTCATACATGTCACTTAACAATTTTTAGATTAGTAACTGTACACGTTGCTTCATATAAACTGTGAATTAGGCTGAAGTATATTCATAATCACAAAAATAATTAATTAATTAAATATAAAAAACTAGGTTAAACTGTATTATTGCTAAATGAAATGTGGAAGACATCAAAAGAATGAATAGGAATTATGAACAATTGGAAAGGATGGCCAAGGTAAAAGTTTGATGGATAATCCTGGTGAATGTCCTATGCTCTTCAACGAGGGATAACAAGCGTTAGTACGTGAGTGATTGCTGAATTGCAATCATACATAAACTACTTGAACAATGCAGAAGTAAAAGAATTGGATTGAACCAATGTACCGAAGAATTGGATTGCTCGGGTTTATATATATATATATATATATATATATATATATATATATATATATATATATATATATATATATATATATATATATATATATATATATCATATCCAAACTATGGTTGCTTTTAAAAGCAGACGAACTCCGAAATATATATCTAAGTTATTCTAGCTAACATATTTGTACTATAGAACTAATAATACCTACCAAGATATGTGAAATAATGTGACAGAAAAACAGTATTTGGATGATAGAAATACGAGAATATGGCAAACCTTGTTCACGATCTTACTGACAGAATGCAGTCACTACTTAGGTTTCCTTCTGCTCCAAATAAACCATGATCTATGCTAATCATAAATACTTATTGTACACCCTATGGATTCAAAAAGTGTCAGCAAAATCCTAATGCCTATATGCCTTTCAGATTGAATATTAGTTCTTCCTTGACATTAGAAAATATATTATGAATTCCACAGTTAAATTCTCTAAGCAAAATGTTACATTCCACTCTTCTATTTTTAACTTTATTAGGTAGTTCTAGTTTACTGTGTACAGAACCATTTATTTGAGTTACCCATGTTGTGTTTATCTATACTTGAGTCAACGTGTGAACTTCATACATGTATGAATGTGAAAACAGAATGCCGATATGAAGAAACTCCAGATTCCTTCATTGCAAATCAATAACCTTTATTGGTAATGCAATGGAATAATGTTTGTTAATTCCTTATTACGATGCTAATATAACGAATAATATTTGTTGCCAAATTTTCATTGAACCCACTGTAATCATAATTCTAAATGTGATAATATCTACGGAGGTAAACTGGATAGTCGAAATATGAAACAAATGTTGATGGAAGGAATAATTTTAAGTGTTTTTGTGCAAACCAATTGTATTACTTACTCATTATGACGCCCAGAGTTTGCGGTTTGGTGATACTTGCAAATGTCATTGAGATCATCAGATGAAGCGCTAAATAAGATGGAGTAGTACAAACTAGTCTTAATTTTATTGACTATCTATATTACGTGTAATTAAATTTACGTTTTTATTCCACAAACAGTTAGACCCCTTTTAGTGCATTGCCAGTAATTTGAATTCGAATGTGATTTTTCAAAAATTGTGAGGCAGCCAACCTCTAGTCTGTTTTGTCTAATGGGGAGATATGAATCTCTCTTAAAAACCAATATTTATCACATAAATGAAAGTAATGAAAAGGCTTAGCATTATTTTAAACATTTCAGAGAACATAGAAGATGTGGGGTGAGCAGACTCTACATATTTCTAAGGTATTAACGCTTGTTGCTTAGTAAAAAAAAGTGTGAAGTAGAACAGTTAGCAAATTTAATGTTACGCTTAGAAAAATCAAAATGCCAACACTTGACGACATGACAATCTGATTATGTCTCCACATCTAAACTGACATGAACGAAAATCTTTCTTTTCTGAAGGTAGAGACGGTATGTTAGGTTGACCTAACCAATCAGATGTTAGTAGACGTTCAGATAGATCAAATGCTGTTACGTGGCCACATGGTAAGAAAAAGATATAATTATGCGTTTATTGTAGTTGATGTTTGAATTATACGCCTGGTGTAAATTACCACTACAATATAAATTCATGAATATATGCATGGTGTCTAATAATATTGATTAAGTTTCGTCACACATCTTCGCAAGCATTTCAATTATGTTTGGGGTGAATGTAAATACTAACTTTAGAAGAACCAATCCTATTTTATGTCACAATGCAACATAGTTGGCATATAAAGAATTTATTGACCGTGGCTCGTTCACTCAATTGAGACGAGAAGCCTCTATACATTTTGTGACACTGCAGTAAAACGTTTACAAAATCGATGATCACAGAAACATGAATATATTGAAACATAAGTAATTACAGAATAGAAATATTTAGTCACTAACACCTTTACACTACGTTATCATCATTTGCTGAAATATGTTACCACTCTTCAATAAATAGCGATTTAAATTTCGATTCCGTTATGGAAATCGGATTGAGGTTAAACTTTAATTAATTTAATAGACTCATGCATACAATTCATTCATCTAAATGTTCCTTCACAAATATAAAAGTAGAACTTAATAAATTCGAAAATTGAAACAAATGTCCTCTAGAGAAAATGAAGAAGTTACCGATTGCCTATTAAAATATATTGCACATTAGAAAGGCTTCAGTAGAACAAAATGGATTGTCAGCCAATAACCACCAAATAAAATTTTGAATTTTGGATGCTTTGGAAACCTGAGCCAATTGTCACGAATGAAAAACTATTGGACATACTACTTAACAATTTGAAAGTAGTCAGCTGAATACAAAGGTTATGACTGAATGAAAATTGTGGACATGCGAAGTATACTGCCATAAGAAAGTATTCTGTAACTGAGGTAATCAATGAAACACATTTCAAAAAGTAGTTTATCACTCTAAACTTACGCTTTAGCAGTTGGGCGAGTTGCGTTTTTCCCTCTGAAAACAATTTAAAATGTTAATGACATTTTGATTTGGCCTACATTGAAAATTTCTAAATGAGTAAATCTGACATTTTCAATAATTATTTACTATTTCTGAGATAATAAGGTAGATAAATCATCATCAGTTAGGTTTAACTACACTTTTCCTTTCAGAAATAACGATGTAGTAGCTGTATATTACTTGGACTATGAAAATATTCGACTAATAGAAATGAGACTTTTCACAGTACAGACGATGACTATCAAAATGATGAAGGTATTAAACAATTGCTTCTTGCTAGTTTGGGAGTATTCAGAACTACAAAGGAACAAATCTGCATAATATCCAACACAAATGTTTTAGATCTCTCGGTAAACAAGATACTTTCAGATCACTGAGTCTGAAGTTATGGTCTGCAAATTATTTCACTTCATTTTGCCTAAAGATCATCCAATTTCATTGATAATATTTGCTTCACTCGTGATATGACTAAAATCCACCTATTGCAGCTTCTCAGTAAAACGTTGCGAAACCACATTTGAATTATTCTCTATGGGACAAATGATCGAAATCTGTAGTTACATTTATTTAGTTTTACGTGTATCATGAAATTGTATTAGCTGTATATGGAATCTAACTTTTTATAATCAATGTTCAATGCAGTACAAACGTGGAATAACAAGGAGCTTATTCAAAAGGATCAATCGAATTTGCACTAGCGATGCAGTTGAGAGAGACAAGTAAATGTCTTTACTGGATGACAGGTACTAACTTGAATTTATAAAACGTTGGTTGAGCAAAGATGTAATAAGAAATACTAAGTTCTCGGCATCCAAGTAGCGAGTCTATATCACTGCACCATTAAGATGTGACTCACATGGTCTTATGGTAGGACTCATTAACATAAACATTTCTAGGTTTATGTTTCATAAAATACTCAAAAAGCATGTGACTAATTGTACCACAACTCATTCCATCTAACAGTTCACATGTATGTGCTGAAACACATAAATTCGAGAAGTAATCTCGATCTGCTGGTAAGGGTGGATGTATACAACTAATTGGCTATGACATCGAATGAATCCTAAGCATCAGACAAGGTCACAGAAGTGACAGATATCTTCCTCCACTGAGAACCGTTTTATTGAGACTTATCATACGTTCAATATCAAGTCAGCGTTTGTAGTGTTGTTCAGAAGTGTTCAAGAGAATATACTAAGGTTTATCGAAGTGATAACTATACGAAAACTGAAGCCACCGTTTTGTGCTCAAAATGTCTTGTGCAAATATATCACATAATTCTGAGAACGTACATCATCTTTTCGCAGAGCAGTTAAACTAATACTGTTATTACTAATGAAGTAGGTGAAATGATTTTCATCTAAAATAATAAAGAACATTCATTAATGTACACAAATTCTTACTCATTCATTATAAATCTCCACGCTTCACGAATATGTTCCCATAGAAGTGTCTGGCCGATAGGATACAATGCCACAGATGAAAGTGCATCCAATAAATCCTGAGGATCTTTTTGATTATTTTTTATGACCCATTCCAAATGTCTAAATTATCGATAACATGAAAAGTAATAGTCGATTTCAACAAAAGTATTTATTTGTATTTAAGTTTGAATTATTCAGGTAATAGAAACTAAACGAAGTAGGTAATGAAATATTTGAAAGAGATAAAAATATTTTATTATTATTTAAGCAAACTGGTTATTAAATTTCTTTTTAATATCCCGCATGAACTGATCAATATTAAACAACCATTGAAAGCTTCGACGCACTGGACAGTGAACTGCTGAGGAGTCCCAAACTTGGACGAAACGGACGTCCAGTACTTCCATGTATTCAATGATGGCCTAACATTGATCAGTTTATGATGTCAATTAAACAAAACTCAACAATCTCCACAATCCTATACTGGTATTCAAACTTTGCTCTGTTTGTCGATAAATGTCGTGTCAGATTGAAATTAACCACAGTTATTTGAACTCCAAACTTTGTTCGGCTAAATGAAAGTACATATCTCATAACCAGTGGTTATTGTTAAGCCGTTGCTTTTTCAATATAATCATACATTAAACATTTTTTAAATATTAGTTTGCTTCATTACATGTAATTTTAACCCATATTTACCCGTATCGGTGACATATATATCCTTTAATATCATAAGCAAACTCATTAGCCGAATTAATGAATGCTGACTGCGTGGTCTGATGACAGAAAGCTAACATTAATCAATTGATTACTCATAAAACACTAAACCTCATATACTGAAAGCGTCTTCTTACGTACTAATGAAGCACTTGAAAAAGCAGTGTTTAGTAAAACCGATGAATTAAATTACGTAAACACAAAACTATGAATGATCAAACGATATTGAGATATATATATGGTGTAAATTACTGATAGTTTAATGATCATATAAATACAACAGCACGAAATATGTATTAGATAGTCAATATATCACGAAACAATCCATGTATTTTATTGACTCATATATGTTTGCATATATTGTACTAAAATAGCAACCATTCATTTAATTTATTGAAAGCTGGCAATCGAAAGCAACAACAAATGAAATGTAGTATAACTCACAGTCTTACTATCCACATATCACGAGAACAAGACAATGCCTGTAAAATACTATTTTTCTCATCCTCTTTAATATCTACTTCTAATAAACGTTGTTTTAGGAACTCCCATTCTTTTTGTCCACCGATTCTAATTGCTGTGCAATAAACAGCTGGCCTCAAACTTGGTGGGATCCTTAAACATAAAACGGATGAAAAATTAGAGGATAATCGATAGTACTACATGTAGAGTAAAAAATATCACAAATTTTGTTATAAAAATAACTTTATTCGTTCAACACGGAAATAAAACTAAACAAAATAATTAAGTTATTTGAAGCAATTCACAAGTAAACAAGTGATATACACATTCCATAGATATGGACCAGTCAATACAAGTGAATGATATACAACTTGTTGGTCGCCAATACCTTGCACAACAACCTCACATTTAATAGATCCAAAGCAGAACGTGTCTAAGAATGTAATTTTTCTAAATTTCATTTAGTAATTATTTCAAAATCATAACAGTTCAATAGGTAACTTACAAATTTTGTGAAGGATTAATCATCCAATTTCTGTAATATTCTGTAGCCATTTTAACGCATGAATGATGTTCAGCTTGACATGCTAGACGAGTTAATGTCAGGCGTAACATACTTAAATAAAAAACAAGCGAAACTGGTGAAATAAATGAACGTTCAACAATAATTACATTCAATTGTTCTAATCAGTTGTCTTATCTGAATATAATAAACAATTAACTGGAATAATAAAACTAACATAAACACTCATCCCTTTATTTTGTTTATTTATCTTCATTTTATGAATGACGTAACACATTGGATTCAGATAATATAGGAAAATTGTATGTTTTCTCAAATTCCACCGATCGGAGGCGGTAAATATTGAGTGGAATTTCTTCTCACACCACTTACGAATACACAAAATCTGTTATTTTGACACATTTTTCATCTCACATCACATGTCTCTTACACACTAACGCGAATACCTACTTATAAGGTTGTATAACGTCGATTGGATGACCTAATCAGTACACAGTTAATCAGAGAACCAAATGTATAACTGGTATGACCATGTTCGATCATTTTGATGTTAGCCTATATTTACTTGGAAAGCTTGTACGAGATCGCCATAAAATTAAATATACAATATAAGGAATACCTTCAGAATGAACTGAATATTGTATCTCAATCATTTTTATTTGGTCAGGCTTGTACAATCGATAATGAGCAAGCTAAGATTGCAAACCTGACAAGTTTCTTTAAAATCCTATTTTCCCAAAATACTCTAAGATTTTTAGCCCTAAATAAATACTTCACTCATTGAGAGACAAATAAATAAACTTACATCGTTTTGTTCATGAGACAAATCAAATCATAAAACCTTTATCATCACACAGAATAGTGTTTGTATACAAATGGGAAAGTATACAGGCAAGTATGAATACGATTACATATCGATATAAAAACACCCCGTACGTTATTGAAGGTAACTCCATGTCACAATTATGAACAGTGAATGAATATGTTTAATATGATTATAGTGACAACATGGTTATTTGTCCGGTGAGACTATAATATATGGATGAACCAGATTAAAGATAACATATGTTAGATTTTGGCGCGAAATTCATTCACTCATTTGGCTCTGTATGAGTTTGGTATTATAGTTCATGTCGGTTAGTGCTGAAAAGATTAGATCGAATTCCTAACGAGAACATTTAAATATAAATCCTAATCCTCATTCCTCACACCAATATATAAGCCGTATTTAACCCAAGTAAGTAAGTAGACATTCCAAGGTCATTTTAGAGTCGTTATAAGGCTGTCCATAAACTCTAGTCTCACCAACTTCTCTCATTCTATGGATTCTGTATCCAACATACTCCACTAAATGAGAATAAATAATATTCGTTTGCACTAGGTAACATATTTCCATAGGCTCTAGATGGTTATCATCTAATGAAATGGATACAGAACACAGTTTAAAAACATTTACGTAACCTACTGCTTCATATGATCTTTATCTTCTTTCATTGTTGTCCAGTCCACTGATTTAAGAGGATCATCTACGAGCGTACGCAAATATGCTTGAAAAGCTCCATAACTCTCGTCCATGGCAAGCATACGGTCTAAATAAGATAATGCTCGACGAGTCGTTTCCCATACAACATACTGATCTTCTTTTTTCAAATATTTTGTCAGATTTAAGTAGACATCGTATGAAACAGTAGCACGACTTTAAATATTTAATAATGAGAAAAGGTAGATTTCAGAAAAATCGTATACATGGTAAGTTCACATAATTAAAGTATAATTTTGTACTGATGATACACTTGCAAACGAAATAGGGAATATAAATCTTGGTCAGGTCATTCATCAATGAAACCTACGGTAGAAAACTCATGCAACCATTAATTATATTCTTGTCGATCATTTAATTAATTCTAACTAGTTTTCCTGTTTAGGTCAACTCAATACAATTTAATTGTGTCATACAATTTAACACGTATGGAAGTAAATTTTGTACACATGTGGATTTTAATTACTAACCGGATGGTTACAACTAATTTCTATAGATTTCTATTTGATTAACGATTAATTCTGATTGAAAGTAGTCGTTACATTTTTGTTATAAAATTATTGTTTACTATTTACCACTTACCAAGAAAAATAAACACAAGTTTACTCCATATATACGGCTATAACCTGGTTAGTTTGATTTATTATTGTAGTAATTTAACAGGTATCATACTGCACCATAAATAACTTTAACAAAACAAAAACAGTTTCAACAGAACTGTTAATGAACTTCTAAGTTTTACAGAAATTGTTAACAATCAGAAGAATCATCCATTGTTGATGAGTATTAGCTGTTAGTTTTATGATGAAAATTGTGGTTTGTAACGAGGTTGTACAAGGTAGCAACAATGTGATTCACAGTGGATGAATTACACGATAGTGATAAATAAACAAAAGTATTGTGTTTCTATCACTATGTTGAAAACACAAACGTTCAGTGGACATTTGTAAATGATGTGGAAGTCGGTCAACAATGCACAAATAGAATTTAGTAAATCTACTTAACCTTGTTATCATTATACTCATAATAGTTCAACAAATATAGCCTTCATCACTACTGGTTCATTAGACAGTAAACATCATAAAGCATTATCCATTTAAAATCAAGTTACTAATAGTTTATCTAAGAAGAGACGATTAAACCTTTTATATGCAACAGTATTTGAAGAAGATGGAAATATATTCAAAGTCCGAAATCAGTCATACTTTCACACCTTTCATTTTTCAGGTACTTTCCTCACCGTAAATGTATCTCTAATCTAAACTCTTTGGTTCACTTGAGCGATACGAACTCATTACTTTATATTATTCCTATCTGTTCCTACTGATAAAAATTTCAATTTAACATTATACAATTCTTGTTTTTATCAAAACAACTCCAATAGACTTTTTCCATTTTTGTATCATGATCATATTGTTTTAATCATCATTTTATAGAATTTCGCTGAAATATTATTATGGAAAATGATATTGTAGGGATTCGTGTTAGATATCTATTGTTTTCAATGGATCATATGAATTCACTTGAAACTTATTGTTAGGTTAATAACGACAAGTGCAATACAATATTTGGTTACAGAGAAGGTTACTCAAAATATATTCTCAAACATTCCTTATGTCAGTATTATCTGTTATTTATATTTCAAACCTTTTGAAGTCGGAAATTACTTAACTTATTCACGTATATATTCAATTCAATTATAGTTTTAATGTATATACTATAAGTTCCTGACCAACACAATAAAACGTTTTATAGATTTATATCTTCAAAGATGGTCTAACAAGAAACTGTTCATTTAAATATGTAAATAATAAAAGTTTAATTTAAATCGAATGCATATCATATGATATTATGTCAAACAATGAATATAGGTAAGTACACTCACTTCGCCAAGTTGAATAAGTCATCCAAAATTTGTGTTCGTGAATGAAGTGGAATAGCCTAATCATAGGAAATATCGAATCAATTAATTTTTTATTTAGTAAATACAAAGTGATTATCAGTAAAGTTATGGAGATTGTTAAGTTTTTATTGTGACCAAGAATCGGTCGATTTTATTGTGAATTGGTTCAAGTTAGATATTAACACCGTTGGATGCCACCTTAGTTGTCTAGACGTTAAGCATTCCTTCGTGAACGAAGATTTTGCGTTCGGATCTCACGTGCGGGATCGTACATATGGACTACTAAGGTGTCCAATAATATTAGGAAACGGTAGTCCAGTGCTTTCAGGTTTTCTATGATGTTCTAACATTGGTCGATTCACGATCTCAATAAGAATAAAAATGATTGTTCACTATGTGGCTAAAACGATTTCAAATATTACTTTGCTATAAATAAAATGTTATTAAGTCTAAATCATTTTAATTATTGTGACGTCTATACAACCTTAATTGGATAACCGTTAACAGATAATTCACAATCATACGCTAGTTTATTAAAGTAATTATCTTTCTATAGACCTTGAAAGTGATTAATCTTAAGCATTTTTCAAATAACGGTTACTACTCACACGATGGTCTTTATACAACTGTTCTGTCAATAGTTCCCAGTTATTGTCAGCATAATGAACACGATAAAATCCAGCTTGTTTAATGTTGAATAAATACCAAGAATTTTCTGCAACATCTAGTGTTTGGGTCATTGTCTCTGTTGAAATTGAAGTAAATATTTGTGAAAATACTATGAAATTACTGAATGTATATATTCATAAGTGAACATCATCGTATAAGAAGGAAAAGTGATTAATGTATTATCATCAGTGTATGGAAAACCAAATAAATAATTAAACATGATCCAAATCTACGAAGGTTTAATGTTCAATTATATACATTAAAATAAATCAACATAATCTGAGAGCCATTTCAAACAACAGAGGACTTCATAGATATTTTATCCTAGTTCCAAACTTCTCAGTACTTAGTGCTCATGACACTATTTGATAGAAAGCCGAAAACTTTTAAATCTCAGCCTCATTAAGAAATCTGTAGATCATTGAGATGAAATCTATCAGTTCACATTTTCACTTTCAACTAATCGAAAATACTATATACCTGCTATTCAACTGCATGAGAGATATATGGATTTCACAAAGTAAATGCTCCCGCTGTGAAACCTTAGGATCTTGGGTTTTATGGTATTTTGCGAACATGCTGACAAAATGCAGAGTCTTCTAACCACCGTAAGCAAAAATGCAAGCATATTTAGGATGCGATTCTCCCCCTCGAAGTGTAAAATTTTGCTTCAGTGTTGGGTTGCATTGGCACTTGAACTGATGATAGGGAGTGAAGTAGTTTAGCGTGTCGACCACTCCACTTATCTTGGGAGTCATGTCAGCCTTTGTGGTCTGGTGTGTGACGAAATCTCAGCACGGATACAGAAGGATCGACTAGCTTTCGCCAACTTGCGTCATTTACGGCGTAAACGTCAGTCAGTCAGCCAGTCAGTAACAACGTAGAACTTCGTACGTACGAACGTACATCAGTTTGAGTTGCCACACCACATTGGTACAGAGATGCCGTGGTCGATTCAAATCCCGTAGTGGTAGAGGTAATAAGAGTATAAGCAGTAATCGGAAAGATTAGTGTTTGAAGATGTTACTTAAAGAGTATAATACAGTGAAACAAACTTGGGGAGAGAAAAAAAAGTGACAAGGGGAAATCAGGAGATCAAAATTTGGGAGAACACAAAGAGTGGATGCACCTGCGCCATTGCAAACGATTTTGAGCCATGTCATTCAAGGTCTCTAACCATCGGTTGCTATCATCTCGAGGTCTCCAACTAGGTAGTCTACACCTACCAACATGACTCAGACCACTTGTCAGTGACTTCATGGATTTGTGCCATGTTTTGGTCTGGCCGCCCCTAGCTTTCTTCCAACCTACTCCTATACCACTGAACATCGCACGTCGGGGCAGTCGGTGGTTGGGCATACGTAACACATATCCCAACCATCTCAAATGATGAAGTTTCACCACTTCATCAATTGATTTGCCATCCTTACCTAGTACCCGTTTCCTAACAACTGTGTTACTTACTCGATGGTCCCATGATATACGAGCAATGTTTCGAAGACACCTATGATCGAATACAAGTAACCTACGAATATCCTCTACTCTTACCGGCCATGTTTCACTGCCATAAAGTAGGACGGAACGAATTGCTGCGCAGTAAACACGTCCTTTGTTTGATAGACGGCGTAGACGAGATATCCGTTTACCAAACAATGGATGGATTTACTGCGCAACAGTTCGTTCCGTCCTACTATATGGCAGTGAAACATGGCCAGTAAGAGAAGAGGATATTCGTAGGTTACTTGTATTCGATCGTAGGTGTTTTCGAAACATTGCTCGTTTATCCTGGGTCCACCGAGTAATTAATGTATTTGTTAGGAAATGGGTACTACGTAAGGATGGCAAATCAAATGACGAGGTAGTGAGACTTTGTCAGTTGAGATGGCTGGGACACGTGTTACGTATGCCCAACTACCGACTGCCCCGATGTGCGATGTTTTATGGTATAGGAGTAAGTTGGAAGAAAGCTAGGGGCGGCCAGACCAAAACATGGCACAAGTCCATAAAGTCACTGACAAGTGGACTGAGCCATGTTGGTAGGCGTAGACTACCTAGTTGGGGTCCGCGAGACGATAGCAACCGATGGTTAGAGACCCTGAATGACATGGCTCAAAATCGTTTGCAATGGCGCAGGTGCATCCACTATTTGTGTTCTCCCGAATTCTAATCTCCTGAATCCTCGTCTCTTTTTCCTCTTTCCAAATTTATTTCACTGGATTATACTCGTTGAACAACTAGTTGATAATCAATTTTATAATATGGTGACGTAATTTGAATAATGTTCATTTTTATGTCCCAAACTTATCTTATTATTACTATCTTTATCATTGTGATTATTATTATTACACCTGATAACCTTTTTGAGATATTTATCCACCATCCACCTCTATCTACATATTACTCAATTTCCGATTTTCTTTCCATTATTTTCTCTCTCTCTCTCACCCCATGTTGATGATATTTATTCTGATCATTTATCTTACAATTGCATTTCACTTATAAGCTGATTCAAGTCAACAACCTCATGTTAGTCATCCCAACATTAACGATCTAAATCATATCTGGCCAATTTTATGGAATATTCATTTGGATTTATAATTGTGGAACCTGATGGGAAATCACTGAAAAGTATAATCTTCGTTGATATATTTATGTTTCCAACCAATAGTGTTCGCTTATTACAAAAATTTATCCGAAATATGATTTTCAATATCTAATCCTCATATTACATTAGAATCTATAATGGCAGTATATGTAAAATATATAATAAAAAATTATATTTCATCGAATGTCTATGCCTCCAATATAAAGATTTAGATTATTAATTCTTGAATAAAACAAAGAAAAATCACTCATCCAACTGGACATAAAAAATCGCTACTATACTCAAGAAATCTTTTAACTGAAGTAGTTCAACCATAATATCTAGCTTAGACATCTTACTTAGTTATCACTATTGACTGATTTGAGTAAATACTTTCTTTATGTTAAAAAAAAATTGGCAACATCACTCACATAAACAATATATATTTAACTGGTTTACAAGTGATACAATATTACTATTTATTTATTCTCTGAAAAAGTGATTTACACTAAGTCACGAAACGTCCTAGGTTTTTCCACCTACTCATATTCATTCATTAGTAAATATTACTACAGTACAATTATCAATTAGTACTTATAATAAGTAAATATATACAAAATCGAGGTAAAGAAAACAATAACTTGCTGTTCATCATCCAAATGACATCTGTTTCATCCCAGTTAATAGTCTTTGCTGATCCATAAGTCAATGGTATTTTCCAAGTAAAGCTAAAAGTAAAAGAATCAATGAATTTAACTTGATTTTACATAAGTATTTTTTTCTAAATCATTACTATGAGTGCTTAATAGATAAATGGATTAAAGTGTGGTGTATACTATTCATGTATATAAGTAGCATGTAGCACCAATCGGAAGTGGAATGCATGCCAACAGAAGACTGGGGAGATCCAATTGAAGAAAACAGAAAGGGAAAAAGAAAGTAATTATAATAGCAACGGAATTGAAATATTCATAAAGCATGTAAAGGGCAACTGATGGGTGATGTGTAAATTGTTTTTGATGCATGGTTTTCATATTTTACCAAGATATTTTGTAATTTTTTATTGAATTATAAATTGATCTTTGTCAACTGGGCCTTCGATCGCTACAAAACCACTAAGCTAAACGATAAAAATGTTTTGTAGTCATGATAAGTTTTACTCCGAAAATTACTCAGTTAATCGGTTGCAGGCTATTAAATCAGCTTAATAGTACTGAATGTTAAAGTGGATTGACTATCAACAGAAACCAGATAAAAACATGACTTCAGACTTCGTATCAGACATTCGATAGTCTTTAGATCATTACGTGTAATTTATTTAATGATACTCGTGTACGTACATATGTATACTATATATATCATTAGTAAAGGTTTGAATTATCCCGAGTATAAATTTTTATTCATCTTTGTTAACATATGTGCATCCCGTAAAGCATTTCGTCTAAAGTTATTTAAAATAAATAGATTAGGCTAGAAATGGAATCTAGCTGACGAATCCCAAATAGGACGAAGCTTGCATGCTAGATTTCACTTCTAGCCACAATCCATCGATTCTAAACATACTATATAATTTAAATTAGAACAGTATAAAAAATGATTTAAAACTTTTAAATCATCCTAATGAAGAAATACAATAAAACTAGTTTACAACATAATCATATGACATATTATTGTACTTCATTTATTTACATAGGTAACATGTATTACTTGTTTGAATTATGAAAGCTTTGTTTATAGCTTTCTATACATGAGTAGATTCATTAATTATATCCAAGTAAAATTTAAACAAATGATCCCTGTGTTCTTGTGATATTTAGAAGTGTTACTACTTATTATGCAATAAAACCATATGTAATTTTAAACAAATTTAATTATTCTACTATTAAAGGGTTTCCCGTACACATGATACTGACTGGAAAATAACCATTCACTTACTGAAACTACTACAGAGATATAATATGTCTATGAACAATTCAAATTTAACACTCCTTAATCATATACAGCACATGAGTTTTCTATGAATGTACTTATGTTCAGTAATATATAGATACAAGCATATGAACTTAAAGTACTGTTTTGCGTCTTATGTCACATGTTCAGACAAATATTGTAATATCAAATCTTCAAGTTTCTAACATCATTTTAAACCACATTGTAGGTTATCCTTCCTTAGAAAATAATGTTTTAATTTACATGTTCAATTTAGATAGATACCATATATTTCGCTTATCATATTATTGAAAATATATAATGCAGTTTGAATGACTTTCTACGTTTAAGAATATAGATTTATGTACAAAATCAATTGATTGTTAATTGTATTAAGAAAATATGTTAACTATTGTTTCCAATATTCATAACTATTTCAATTGAAGAAACGTTTCCAGTAGAACCTCTTGATATCCTATAATAATGCATATTTATTAAGTACGTGCGTAAACAGACTTCAATGAAACTAAAAAGTCATTTAATGCCTTAATCAGCTAAATGGATCTAACAAGCTGAAAGTCTATTAATCCGACTTCTTCTTTCTCTAAAACTCTTTTAACATTGCCTTTAGTAGGCTTGAATATGAATTAAGCGAATAAATTAGCTGAAACTACTTTCTACTGAATACTATTGGTTTTATCAAATTTCAGAATAAACTATGTATTTATTAGGGATATATGTTCAATATAACAAGTAACGTTCAATACAAAATTATGTTGACTTTTTTCAATGTGTAATAAAACTTTACTTAGTTTTGAATGTTAGATTGATTAATAGTAGTAAAGAATGGTTGGTAACACATGACATATCTGAAAACTCCAAGTTAACAATTAATATATTAGAGAAAGATAGTGAACACTAACATTCACAATACTATTCTCACAACTTGATACTGGTAAAAACATTACATTTAAAGCAACTTCGTGTTTCACTATTATTATTATTATTATTACTATTATTGTTATTGATGTACTAACTAGTCAGCGTAAATTGGGTAACACTTGGAAACATACAATTACATTCTAATCGTTTGCATGAATGTAGCTATCGACTGAAATAGAAAATTGGAGATTTATTACTCATTATAACACTTGTAATACTAAGAATATGCGTTGTGGTTAACATAACTAATGATTTAATAAACATAATCTACATAATAAAAATGACTAATAGTATAAATCATATTATCTTGTAAAATTTTAAACCGTTTAGATAAACGGACTAAGCAACTACTGAAACACAAATGATTGTTTCTTTAAATACAAACTAATCTGATTCGGAAAAGATAAAAACCTTTACAAAATATTTTAAGATAAACGAATATAGCAGTAAATATTGATAAATGCAGGCTTATGAAATTTGGTTCGTTCTATTTCATCCAGTCGTGTTGTTTAGCAATGTTTTGCGCGGCAACAAGACTTATCAGTCAATCATCTCACAAAATAACATTAAGGTGGCCAGTGTGACTAGTGACTAGTGTGACTAGGGGTAGTTATACAGGAATAACAGCATTCCAACACTAATCAATCTGTAAAACACTAGTTTCACAAAGTTTAATACTATCCATCGAGTTATTGAATGTTTTAAATAAGTTCTGTGTAATAATTCACTGGCGGATAAAATATAACAGGATAGTTCAAATCGGGTTAATAGGAATAAGTCTTCCCACTACTTTACGTCTTAAAGACACAAATATCCTTTAGTTGGTAAAACAGTAGTTAGAATACATGAAATTATTCAACCTACTTGTATGGTGAGGGATTTTTCGGCGACTTAGCATCCTGTGGCTCTAAGTAATGTTTTTGTACAAACTGAAATTGGCCATCAGTATTTCTTTGAATGATTACTAATGGGTAATTCATCTGTTTCATCCAGGTATCCATTACGGCTTTAACATTCACATCTTTACCTGCACGCTTTGCTGCCTGAAATTGAAATAAATATTTCTGTAATTAATATTCAATAAAAATAACACTGACTGTTGTAGAATATTTCTGCATTGTTATAATACAATATCTTTGATGGCGGACGGAGATTGTATTTATTCTGCAAATTTTGACTACTAATAACATATAAGTATACATACATTATTTCACACATTGTTGACATTTTATCGACTCATACTTTTCCAATTTAAAAAATGACATCTGAATACGTTTTCAATCTAGATCTAATGATTAAAGATTATATATTCTTTGATAATTCTGGCTTTAAGGGTTGAGATCATGAGTCGATTGAAGCCAGACAACCATGGAGAACCTGGAAGCACTCCAAAGTAGTTTCGTTCTATTTTGGGACTCCTCAGCGGTGCACATTCAAGATCTCGCCTCGCGAGATTGTAACCCAGAACCTATCAGTCTCGCACGCGGATGCCCAACCTCTAGACCATTGAGCCAGCATCCAATCGTGTTAATGTCTAACTTTAACTAATCCACGAAATCGAGCCACACATTCACCATTGTCTTCAGTGAGTTATTATCTCACAACTGACCCGGTTGAACTCCACTGGTCACTGCTTCTCACAATAGGACAAAACGGCCCTTCGTGGTGGTCTACCTTCAATCGACTAGTGATCTCAACTATTGAAATTTTAATTTTGTTTATTACCCTAAAGAATTTCAGATAACAATACTGAACGAAATAATGAAATTGTTTGAATTTCAACTCCTAAGATTACTTGAAATATAATTTGTCCAAGTAATATACTAGATACTCAAATTCTAGTATAAACACGTATTTGTTCCCAACCCCAAACGATAATTGTACTACCTAATGTAGCTTCAATACTCAATGAAATTCAAGTTAACTACATAATGAATATTGATCAGTAGTTGGAATTATTTCTGAAGATGCAAACCATTAACCATGAAACATTTAAATATTGAACTGATAATTCCCGTGTTTCATTAAATCACAATAGTCAGAAGAACACAGATAATTAGGTAGTACTGTTGATCTGACAATTAATTTCTCAACCATTAGTAACTTACGCCTGTTACTCCAAATTGAGCATAGGACGCCAACCAACTCTGTCCTCGGTCTTCCTTCCCACTTCTGTCCACGTTTTTTCCATTCTTCTCATGTCGGTCTCCATTTCTCGGCGTAATGTATTCTTTGGTCTTCCTCTACTCCTTTAGCCTTTAGGATTCCAACTGAGGGCTTACCTTGTGACGCAGTTGTGTGTCCTATCCACTCCCAGCGCTTCATCCTGATCTCTTCCTCCACTGCGGTCTTGTTTGTTCTCGCCCATATTAGGCTGTTGCTAATAGTGTACGGCATACGGATCCGAAGTATTTTGCGTAGACAACTGTTAATAAGCACTTGTATCTTCTGGATGACGATTGTGGTAGTTCTCCAGGTTTCTGCCAATAAACAGGAGAACTGTCCTGACATTTGTATTGAGAATTCTGAATTTGGTGTTGGTTGACAATTGTTTTGAGTTGCAGATGTTCTTCAGTTGTAAATATGCTGCTCGAATTTCTCAACAATGCATGCTTATAAATTCGTCATGGTTTTATAGGTCAGACTATCAATCCACATCGCTCATTTAAATGATCAGCATTTTCTAATTACGCCTAATTTCCAATATGCTTTCATTTTTATTTATTATGTTCATCACATACCCACTCATTACCTCCCTGGAAAATTCCATAATCGTTTAATCTCCATAAGAAAGTTCTTCAAGAACTACGGCTTATCATTACATATTCACACGTACATTAAATATTTAAACAAATTACATTCTCCAGCTTTACTCATGTTCGATGACCTGAAGTGTGATTCTGCTTAGCTAACACCTATTTTTAAACCTTGCTCTTTAAACGATAATGTACAATGAGATGTAAATTTAATTATCACCATTTACTTATCAAAACCATCTACGGTATAAATAATAAGTGTGAATGATGATTTGCATAAATCAAATTAACACGGTGAAGATGTTAACCCGAATAGAAATCAGTTAGTATCTAAATGAAATATAACATACACCCGATTGGTAGTAAATTATATTAACGCATCCAATCTAATTTCCGTATACATGACACAGAAAATATTGTCATCATCATCATAAAACTGTTATATGTGACAAGAAATATCAGATTTCAGTTGTTATAGATAAATAACATAAGTGATCCAACAAGATCAAAATTTATCAATCAATTTTTAAGGTCAAAGAATGAATTCCATAGTGAATAAAATCATGGACACACCTCAGTGAGCGCCCTCCACAAATCTTCATGAACAGTATTTTTATATTTGTTTTGATATAGATAATTCTGCAACGAAAATAATACCATAGAAATGATCATCAGAAATATGCTATATATATCTATATATATATATATATATATATATATATATATATATATATATATATATATATCAGAAGGGGTTTGTGTAGATTTTAGAAATTTCACAGATTGAAATCATGAATCAATTGAAGCCAGACCACCATGGAAAACCTGGAAGTACTGGAAGTACTAGTATGGGACTCCTCCAGGTTTTCTATGGTGGTCTAGCTTCAATTTACTCATGATTTCAATCTGTGAAATATATGTATATATATTCAGAAATTCCATTCATTTTTCATTTATTTCTCATCTAAATATAGGATCAACAGATTCAGTCATGATCTCTTGTTATTTCACAATTCCATACAAACTTCATTTTAATTTTTGTCGAGCAACTAATGTCTGAGTAATAACTGATGAGTTGGTCATCATCACCAACACCAACATCAGCAGCAGCAGCAGGAGCAGTATAGTTTTTCACTTCACGGTGAATGGATCACACATATCTGATAATTGGTTTTGAAGATTTCCGTCAAAAGTATTTCTGATAAGAGATCTGATTTCTCGTTAACTACCTTTCTATTTTATTTTACAGTTTGCATGAATTGTGAAGTAACAAGAGATCAAGACTGAATTTATTGATTCTATATTTAGATGAGAAATACAGGAAAAATGAGTGGAATTTCTGAATATTTTTTTATTATCAAAATGGAATAATCAGAAATTTGATAAGGACTTTTCAGTGTTGGTGTTTAAACATAATAAGAAATTTTATCAATGAAAGTATAACGGTTTGTGATCTATTATAAAGCAATAAAACAGATTAAAATGTATTCCAAACTCTTATATAGTCTGAAACGTTTGTGTTTATTTGCAACCGTTTTGTTATGACAGTCTGATTCGACTATGGAAATATTGAACTTTTGTCGCTGTATACCTCACTATCAGATATATTTCATACGATCTGTGTTTTTCAACTATGTATTCCATTTATCCTTGAAAACAGAATGCATAAGTCATTGACAAAATCAATGTATTTCAAAGCGTATGTGTATCATGTTTGGTCGTTGTTTTTTCAGTAAATTCTACGTAAGTTATTACAAACTTCTCGATTTCTGTGACGTGAATTTTATATAGTTGAAAATTACTACTTTTGAATTTTACATACTATCAGTTATAGATGATAAACTGATTTCGTCTTCATGTGAGAATATGGATTCTAAACTTTTGCAAGTATATACATATATATACCTGATTTAAAACATTTTCACTATAGCGTGACTCTATACCATTTTTTAGTTGTACTGAATATTTGGATGTCAAACTGATGATCTTTGTAGTGAACGTCTATATTTCATAACAGTCTATTGTTTACTTATTTAATTCTGCCTAGGATGGTTTAAAGTACAGTATATTAAATATTTAATTGTTATTCAATAAGCATTAATGAGGCTTTAGCGTAAACTTACTTTTTTTCCTTTTTGTTCAATCGAAACGTGTCCTTGCTAAATACACGATTTATTCCCTTATCCTGTATAAAGTTAGTTAGTTTACCTCTGAATAAGTGATTTGTTCTCAGTTGCAAAGCATTCAAAACTTAATCCACTACTCATTAAGACAAGTGCATCACTTCCTAATTCAAATTACTAAATAATTGCAAGATAGAACGGCCATTTTTTAGTAGTGAAAGACTCCACAATACTGTGAAAGCCTATCTACTATGAATAAAAATATGTTTACCACTAACGAATTTCGAGAATTAATTTCCTGACTTTTAGTAAGTTGCTGAGATCACTGAAATTCAACCTAGTCGATGATGTGAAGGTTTCCATTCAATGACACTGTGTGGTTTTCGATCATTATTGAAGTTAGAAGTTTAAACCATTAGGTACAAACTTGGTCGTCTGAATGTTAATAGATTATTGAGAAGCCTCAAGTTCCAATGTCTGATCATTTAAAGTCAAGAATGAGAGTTGAAATGCTTCATATGTTCAAACAATACAGGTGTCACATGTTTCGAGCTTTACGATTGTTATCTAGCCATAGTCAGAGAATAGTACGAATCCACAAAAATGAACGATGTTTACAAATCTTCTTTGCTATTAGAACTTAGAATTTTCTTATACTAATCACATTACGATTACATATTGTTAAATTAAAGCAGTTATTAAATGGGTTATTCAATAATCACTGGCTATTATTGCTATTTTTCCTTCTTTTACTGATAAAAGGATAAGTAGCACCTGCAGATAAATCTTATTTTACCAAAGAATTTACTGAATATAAAAAAATGTAATAATGATTTTTGAAATACAGTACACATTTAGCTTAAAACCGTTTCTTTGAAATTTTCGACTATTGATGGTTATAAAATGAATGAATTGATTATTTAGTAAAGTAGATGATCTTTTCCGAACAGCCTTTTCTTTTATTTCAATGGATCTTGTTAGTGAATTTGTTTGTACTATATCATAACGTATATGGAAAGAGTTAATACCTAATAGACTAACTTTCTGAAAATCATTAAAATGTTTTATTGAAACTGAAATTAGAACAATCGTTCGTCTTGATACACATTCAGGTATAAATTAATAGAAGCTAAGAACAATGAAGAAACTTATTTCCTTTAATTTAAATATTCTATTATCTTAGTAAATTTGTCTGAATGAGTAAATAACTTTACTACTACCAACATGAATGACTCAATAACTAAAGATAATTATTAGTCTATTTAAACAAGTGTTCATAAATGGCATTTACAAATGAAATGAGAAAGTATAAGTAATTTCCTGTAATACTTTAAGATGGTGGTTGGAGGTAGTTAACAGGAAATCCTGTGCGGTACACATGAAATGTCGAGTCACCCAGACTGGTGGCCATATTGCGACTTGGTCAATAGGATTTGATCTGTACTAAGACGGAAATGACATACATGACATTGATCGCCACCCAGTGATCTGTCAATAGTAAACTGTAATACTTTAGAGAATTGTGGTGTTTATATGAACTAATTATTTCTTCGTACGTAATGCCCACCTGATTTTGAATTCCAAATATAATACGTTCGTTCTCTTTGGTCTCAATTGCGTTATTTCTGGGATTCCTAGTTCGTATAATAACTCAAATACTTCTAATTATCACCAGAAAATATTTGAGAGGCTATCAAGAACATAACGAAAAAGTATTTACTCGATTGCTCTCGATTCTTTATTGCAGATGTAATACTGTTTGTTTAAATACAATCGCTAAAGTGTCATATCATGTTACAATAAATTGAACTTTAAAAAGAAAACTAAATGAGGATTGTTAATTAACTTCAACATACTTTTACACCTGCACGAAATGTGTTTCGACCCATAAATGACTCCATCATTCTCAAAACGGACGCACCCTGAAAAATAGTATACCACGTGATTGGTAACAACTAATTATAATTTGTACATATAGTAACAACTATTTTACAGTTGTTATAAGATACGATAGAATTGTGTCAACAGTAAGTGATTTTGATGAAAGGTATATATATTTAGATACAGTCCATCTACTATCACATTCAAAGGAGAAAAAGCAATAATGCAAACTATCTATACCATTTTCCGCATACCATATCTTAATATATACACACTTCTTTAAAGAGAAGCTTCTTAGAAACGTTTTTGTTTTTTTACTTTTCCAAAGTCCGTAAAGGCGACTATATGTGGATTATATCATATCGATTGATCACTGATTGACGACGTGGCCATTAGCCTAAAGGAACTCAATAATACGTGCAGTATATTGAGATATTAGCTACTGGAAGTAGTGGCCAGTTCTAACATTACCTGTGAATTGATATTAATAAACAAGGTGTCAGTGATACTAAGTGATGAGGATTTGGATCTCGATTGAAGTATCATTTCCACCAGGATTTTAGATACAGTCCCAAATAGACTATAAACTAGATTTAAGGCCTTTATTTGGTTCGCTCCTAACGCACCTAACTCACATTCTACATATCATTCCAGCTTCAGACATTTAGTTAAACGCGAGAATGCTTTATTTACATCGAACTTTTGAACATATTGATACAATCTGCACCGTTGATAATGTTAATTAAAGCAAGACCAGCATGATTTGAAAAATAGAATGAATTCACTTTAATTCAAGCTTTCTCAGCAACTGCAAATAGTCTAAAGTCACTATCAATAATGTTATAGTGAATACAGCTTCACATAACTATGTAAAACAGAACTGAGATGGGTGTTTGGTAATCAATTTAAAATCATAATAAATTGAGAAAGGCACAAGATATGGTATTAAATTAGTTCAAGTGAAGCGTCTTTATATATTGAAATAAAACAAAACAGATAGTCATTTAAAGTAGTCGTATTTATCAATGATTATGATGAAATAGAACACAGCATAACATGGTAAAGTTGGAAATAAAGAAATGATTGCACGATAAATTGTTATAGTTAAATTTAAAATCAATCAAATATGTGAGTAGCAAAACTTATTTCATTAAAATTCTATTAGCTATTACAAGGAGAGGTTTTTCACACTTCTATACATAGAGTTCAGGTCTGAAACGTTTACAGTGAGTTTATAAAAACCGGTTAAGTGGACGTTAGCTGATTATAAGTTTATTCGAATGCTTTCGAAATATACAAATTTCTAGTAGCCCTCTGATATGACTCCAACTTCATCGAACGATGATGTCGACAAAATATACATTTCTGCTACCCCTATATGTAATTATCGATTTAATTCGCCCTAGTAAACTACAGAATATAATACGTAAATTAAGGAATGAATCCTGGGTACGTAAATTTCATATACTCGTTGATCAAAAAAGACAATCAGTGAAACGAAGGCAAAAGTGTCAACCCGATTTGATCAAGCGTGACTCAGTATTTGTAGTCAGATAAAAATAAGCTAAAAACGTGATGAATAAGGTAAGCGATACAAACACATACACTCGCATTAAAAAAAGTCAAATTAAGTAGGCAAATAATTGTCAAGGTCGAGATGTAACTCATGAAAAATAAATACAATGGTCTGTTCGCAAGCTAGAGTAACCCATTTGAGCCTTATATAACACTAGACACTACAGTTATTTTCGTTATTTATTAGGTAGTCACTGGTTGCACTTGTAAAGACCTTGATTTCTTCCAAACATGATATTCTGAGAAAATGTTCAAATAACGTAGTGGAAATATTCCTCCCACTAGTTTCTGTATACTTCCCACCACAAGTACATGTAAATCTATAAATGCTATCATGAGGGTGTTGGTTTTATGATCGATTGGTGTTGTACAATGAAATCCACTAAGCTGTAGGAAAGCTCCGTTTTAATACCTACACTCTCTATGTACCTTGAAAAACAGGAGAAAACAGACTCTTTGCTGACAGTTAATAGGTTGTGATCATCAAGATATTCTTCCACGTATTTCAAAATAAATAATCTCAAGTATCGATTTCTCATAAAACCTTAGGTAATTCTCGATTCATTTTTTATTTTATCACTTGAGTAAAAAATAATACCTTGAATAAAAATCATTTTGGTTAGGTACCGATAAGACTAGTGGTAATGTAATTTAAGTATTGTTCCATCAAGTTTATTATTGCATATGCTTTTCCTAATAATTATATCATATTTTTGCATAGTTCATTACAGTTTAAAAAAAATGAGTTGGTTTACATGTCCACATCCCAATGCAGGTTTTATGTTCCCATAACATTTGTTGAAAGAACAGATCATACAAGAATCATTATTCATCTAATCATAAATGAAAATGTATTACCACCGTACATGGAGTAGTATGTTTTCTTATTTTAGATTTCAATTTTTTCTCTTCTATGTTAGTCATCAAAACATTTATTAAAATAAGCTTTAATAGTAATCAATTGGACACTTAATCAGTTGAAATAACGAATGTTTCATTATTCATAAAGAAGGCGGAAAAGCCTATATATTCCTTTTATCTCTGTAGTATCAATAATTCAAGTTTGATCGATGCTCGAAAATATCTTTACTCTTTTACAGACTATCATCAAGCTTACATAGATTCTCCACTGTTTTAACACATCAATGTTTCCTTAAGTGCATAGTGAGAAATTTAAAATAGGGATTTAAGTAAACAAATTTTACAACAACGCAAAACTTTAAGTCCCTGTAACAAAGTAGATTTTAGCATACATAAATAACGAAACATCCACTAGATTACTTTGTGAGTATGGATAGTGTATGGAAATCACCGAAATTTTATAAATCTGATTTTATTTTTATAAAAAAAATATTGAAAAACTTGCTTTATTATAAGAAATTGGATCGAAAATTTCATTAATTTCATTTGGATAGTAAACAGGTTGTATAACTGGCCGAGATGTTGCTAACGAATCACTAATCAACACTTTTTGTATATCATCCAGAAGAAATTGTTCATCCTTTATGGTCAATATAAAGTAAATCATAATCGCTCATTAAATTTATGATTATAAATAAATCGAAAAATATACATTTAGGTATTGTTCATTCTTTTAAAATACGTATTCGAATATTCGGAATAAATAGATTGCATAACTTCTCAAAATAAATCTGATTGTCTACTAGATTTCGTCTATTTTAAATATATTCAATAGAATCCATATTATAATTAAATAAGGAAATTCGATTGATGTGTATCATCTAGATAAACACTGAACACTTAGGATTATCTCCATGCATTCTTGTTTTACTTATGATCAACTTCACTTGATAAATAGATTAGTAATTGTTTACATTTTAATGTGTCATCAGGAAGTTGATATGAGTTTCAGTTTGTTAGGAGGAGAGAGAATATTTAATTGCTTGAGTGAGCATTCTTCCAACCTAATAATACTTCAAACTCACTTGATATTATTGACTTGAATCATTGCATTGATGTTTATCACTACAATTGATCAGTCACTCATTGGCATATGTGCATACTGTGCGGACTGGCTCGATACTGTCTTAGTTCACGAGCATTATAAACAAAGATGGATAATGGCTGATAGTAGAATCTAGGACGTGCATTCTCTTCTATTTGTTACTCGTTAGTTGGATGTACCTGTATCATAGAGCTGATTTTCACTCTGCGACACAAACGCACCACCTTTCACTTCAGATATCATCGCATTATCTACTTAGCTACTGAGTCCTGATAGCCACCTGCTTGTGCGTTGGGGTAAATTTTAAATTCACTTAACCTCTCAATGCAGAGTTGATAACATTTTAATGTGTACGATGAAAGGTTTCACCGCTTCAGTCGGATTACTATGAAAATTTGCTAATAAAAATGTTGACAGCTCAATTCTTTTTTCTTATTTGACAAGTTTAATACTTATACCTTAGTAACTAAATAGTAATACATTTTAAATGATTGTGCATTAGTATGAAAATGCTGAAGATAGCAATAAAAGTTTAAGTTCAGTGGAAAAACGATCTGCCACATTTCACTGAACATAATACTTTTGAAAAATAAGGCTAAAGATCAACTGAAATATGATATCAACTGATGATGTCAATTATATATCAACTACGCGGGTTGATATTTTTTTAAAAATTTTATTTCGTGATAGATTCTTTTTTGTTACCAAGGCCTCAAAGAACAGGAAAGCAGTTAATAAACAATGATCAATTCGTATAAAATAAATACAACATACCATTCCCCACTCTGGGTGAACATGATCCACTCCAATATATTCAGCAAAACTTGCGAAACCTTCATTTAACCATAGATCGTCCCACCAATTTAAAGTAACTAAATTTCCAAACCACTAAAATTATAAATATATAAATATATCCATTTCCTATAATTGAACAGCTGTTTTGAAATATCTAATTAATCATTCTATTAATAAAAAAATTTGTAGATTTGACTATTTTATTCATAAGTACCACATTGATCTATTTTATATACTGAAATAAGGAAATTTTTTGTTCGTTTAAATTGTTGGTTTTGTTTGTCTCAGTATAAACATCAAAGTGATGATAAGTAGATTTTGTAAAGTTACTTGAAATAACTAAGATTACTCTTCATACTCTTCATAAATAAGTAAATAAACTAAATGTCGGTATATTACTGTCAAAATGATCTACATCAGAATAATACAATATTTATATAAGTAAATCAACTAGTAAAAATATTCTATTTAAGTATATTTGTAGACATCAAAGCTTTTATATGAAGTAAAATATATGATAATAGAAGGGTACTATTCATCTACAAACAGACTGGAAAAAAACACAGATTATTTAATAAGTATATTCATCATATGGGTACAAGATAAAGTATATTTTGTAGGGGTAGTAGGAAAAGTAGTAGAAAGAAGCATATGTTTATCAAACATAATACTCAGCTAATTTACAGACATTTGTTTAATAAAACGTAGATTATCATTGATTAATTATCCGAATATATATTTCTTAAATAATATACATAATATTTTATTTAGCTTTTTATATTCTCTTTAAAATTAATTATTGTAATAGTACGCTCAAATTTCTGTTTATTAGTCATACATTACCTGATGAGCAACTTCATGTGAAATAACCGTCGCCACTTTTTGTTGAGTAGCTGCTGTTCCAAATTCAGGATCCCATAACATTGTTGCTTCTCTATATATCATAAGACCCCAATTCTCCATTGCTCCAGCAGCAAAATCAGGCACCGCTACCATATCTGATAAGTAAAGATAAAAAAGATAAATTTTCTAGTATAATTTATGTAAACGTTTAGTAAGTGAAAAATAGGCTCTTTTATCCTTGACTTCTCTCAATAGCATTTTTACATATCTAGTATAGTGTTTAATCAGTTTTCGCCGATATTGCTTGACCAACGCCTACAGAAGAAATGTCGTTGATGTTATATATTAGACAGAGATAATACAAAAAAATGTAAAAAGAAATAGGTTAGAAAATTCTTCATCATAAAATGATGTAATAAAGTTATCTACCTTAGGGAAGTTAAACTACCGTACACTATGATTTCACTCATAAAACTAGCACATTAAAACTCTAACCACTGAAGTGTACTAGAAGTGTGGGACTTCAAATTAATGAATTTAGATTGAACTATCCTATGTTAAAACTCCACCAAGAGCAGTGCTACGATTACTGTTAGTTTAAAGTCCAGATAAAGTCAAGTTGTTGAGCATCGGTTTAGTAATTCCGTTCCTTTATAAATTCACCTAACTAAAACAATGCTAATCTGAAAAAAAACAATTGAAACTATATAAACATACAGTCATCTTACTTCATAAAAACCATAAATCTTTTTAGTGATACAAAACCGGTACTCTTTGATAAACATTTTAGTATTAATCATTTGATTTTTATCCTAATATGAATATGATTTATAGAAGTGATTGTCGTTGTATATGAATATTCCATAGAATAAGCCAGCCTTACTAATAATAATAATAAATTTCAAAGTAAGCGAAATTTCAGATAACATTCCATTTCCTGAATGATTAGAATATCACATGCAATAAATATTCAAGTATATTAAAACTGTACAGCAGAAACAGATCTTATATATATATATATATACTACTTATAAAAATGTTTCATCTATTCTGTATAAAATTATAAAACACTCACCTGTTTTTCTCAATGGATAAGGAAGTTCAAAATATTCTTCAAAAAATCCAATAATTTTCTTTCCTGTTTCAAGAGCATATTTCGCTGAATTAATTTTCTCTGATCTTGTCCATACAGTAAACTTTATTGTTTATATTTGAAAAAGACAAACACAACAACAACAACAACAACAATAAAACAAATGTGTAATTAACAACCATCCTTTTTAAAAAAAAAAAGAAAATTACATAAACGGAACAGAACACAATAAATATTGATAGGAAAATAATTATTTATTTATTTGTTTACATGTTTATAAAGTCACAATGGTAATTTATTTACTACAATCTGCTTAATTGTATTGTATTGTATTTTCAATACGTTAGATTAAGTTATATAATTTAAATGAAAGAAACTTAGTTTTTAATATGACTTTACTTCATAGAAGTAAACATTTTATAATGTGAATCAATCTAATGTTTAGAAAAAGAGATGATAATAAATACATTATTTCTAATTCTAGAATAAAACATACTGTGATGCGTGCTACTTATATTGATATAAGTAGTATATGACTCGAGTTAGGAATGTAATGTCTGGCAGCAGAAGATAGAGGAAGATCAAGAAAGGAAGAACGGGAATAGAAAGCAATTAGTATGGAAATGCATGAACAACAATGTTCGAGACAATTATTGAACATTTTGCAAATTAATTATTATAGTATGATTTTTCTATTTTACCAAATAACTCTGTAATTTTGTGCTATATACAATTCAGTTGTCCTCATCTGTGTTCTCCTTCACTACAATACTACTGATTATTAATATTCTGAAACTTTCATCGATATAAAGTGTGAAAATCTGTGAATTCACCCATAGAATTTTCACCAAATAATAAGACTGTAGTGAATGAAAACATAGGTGGAGTAAACTTAATGTATTTTAATGCTATATGACAAAGCTCTTTTATCAGATATGAAAAGTATACGTTCAGTAAATCATTTGAAAATCCTTCATCAATTGTCTAAAATTTCTATGTTCCCATTTTCTTCGGTTCGATCATCTCAACCTTCTACTGTTAGGTTTTCTACTTTGGATTGCTGTTACACACTATTTATGTCGACAGATATAAGTAGCATACACCATGATACTATCTGATGTTAATTATCATGTTCAAATGCATTACAAACGCTTAAATATTTTTTGTATACGTATATCTAACTAACTATATACTCACCTATCAATCCACGCATTTCAATGAAAAATGAAAACTGGGATTATATATAAAGTATATTTGCTTGCTCTATATAAGAAAAGGTGTGTTACATGATAGTTTTAAAAATAATGAGGAGAGAATGATTAACTTTTAAATCATTAAACATTCAATTGACTGACTATGTTATATACTAATTTCAGGGTAATTTATAAGGTCTATCATAAAATAATAAATTTTATTCACTTACATTCCCTTAAAATAACAAATGATTTATCGACCCGTTACAACAATCTCGAGTTTTTTTCTTACTAAAAAGCCCCCCTCATTCTTAAATCGACTTTGTATATTCTTAAAACATTTTATTCTTAATATTTTATTCACCAAACAAAATCCCTTAGAATTCAGTTTTCTTCTTTACGTTACTGCAATGTTTATCCATTAGTTTTATACTTGTTCTCTAAGTATTTATGTTTAATTGATCTTAAGTAGACTTTCTTGATTTTACTCATCTGATATAACTTTGTCTTAGAACCTTAGGCATCATCTGTATTACATGATAAAATTTATCCTCTAAAATTATACATACATTTACATGTAACGCTATAGCATGCTGATTTTCGCCCAGCTCACCATTTGTGTATCAAACGTAAGTTGTCATTTAGGACATTAAATTAGAATAGATTCTAAACTCCTGGTGAAAAACCTAATGAAGTCATGTTATTCTATTAAAATCTTTACCTTTGATCCTTTTCGAGTATGAAGTTATCATTGAGAGACTATAATTTGTGGACTAATCAATCAGATTTAGGATAAGAGTTCTTGGGTTTTGGTGTATAATTCACTCACCCATTTGGTCAAATAGCGTTTTGCTATTTCAGCTGTCAGTTCGTGATGAGAAATCGTAAATCTAATTTCTAATTCTTGTTTATATCACTACTAATGTTTGAATACATGTGTAAGTGAATATGAATTTTAAAATTCTGTTGATAGTTATCATGAGATATATCATTCCAATATACTGTTTCTAGCAACCAACCTTTAACACTATGATTTATTCATTTAAGTACGTTTAAATTCTCATAATCAATTCCAAATAGAATCATTCAATTAACTGACAATAGGCATAAAGTATTATCAATAACCGATAATAATTTACATTTGCATATAGTTTAGTTAATTAAAAGGACGTTCCAAAATATTCTTACTTAAAATTATAGATACATCGCAATGAATAATTTTTGATCAACCCATTAGTTAAGTAAATTTGAATTAATGTTGAATTGTACTACATGAAAGCAATTCTGAGGATAATTTTGTACATTTATGTAAACGGAATATACATGCACTAGTGAGAACCAATGACCAGTGGAGTTCAAACCAGGTCTGTTGTGCGATAGTATCTCACTGGTCACAATCGTGTAGTGTGGTGCAATTTCATGAAGTACTTGAAATTAGAAATTAACACCGTTGGATGCCGGCTCAGTGGTCTAAAGGTTTAGCGTTCTCGCGTGAGACTGATAGGTCCTAGGTTCGAATCCCACGAGGCGGGATTGTGGATACACACTGCTGAAGAGTCCCATCGTAGGACGAAACGGCCTTGGAGTGTCTTCATGTTTACCATAGTTATCCAGCTTTAACTGACTCATAAATTCGACCACTAAGAAATATTGGTTCAGCAGTGAGTTCCATTTTTGATGAATTCATTTTCAAAGCTATACAATCGCAAATTTTTGCTAAACCAAACTTTGTTTTTTTCATATTTCTTTCTAGTCAACTAGAAACATGAGATTGCCTAGTGGATGCCTAATCTTTTTCATACAGAACTTTAACATTTGTCTATCTATCTATCTATCTATATATATATGCTCGTCGGCGGCCTATGCTCCATCGGGAGTAACAGACTTAAATATGTAACTAAGTAAGTAAGTAAGTTCTAGGCTGTTAGCATTCTTCCCAAATACTTTTAATCTCATGAATAAAAAATAAAAATTTAAAAAGATTATCAAATTTTAATGAAATTGTTTTAAATTATATATGAGTTAAATGAATTAATTCTATTCAATTTCAACATACATTTCTTCCTTTAGAATCAATACCACGAATCGATGCAAATTGTGAGACTACAAATGCTAATAAATATGTTGACATATTAACACTTGGTTCATATTTATCAAGATACCAATTATCATTAAGTTCTTCAGTACTTTCCAAAGCCATATTTGATAGTGAATGATAATCTTTTTGACGTATTAGACTAACCTGTATAAACCGTTTGTGAAAAAAAGAGAAATGAATGAAGCAATTCAAATTGATATATTCATTTGCCATTGAACTTGTTTACAAACAATTTGTATTCATTATTGGAAATATTAAACTGAAATAAAAAATAGAATTAGATTCATTTGGGGTTGTTTGCTTGTATCTATGGAGCGAAGAGTAGTGGACATCAAATCTGGGATACAGGTACATCCAACGAACGAGTACCAAATAGAACAGAATGCACGTCCTAGATTACACTGCTAGCCATTATCCATCTTTGTTTATAATGCTCGTGAACTAAGACAGTATCGAGCCAGTCCGCACAGCATGCACATATGCCAATGACTGACTGATCAATTGCAGTGATAAACATCAATGCAATGATTCAAGTCAACAATATCAAGTGAGTTTGAAGTATTATTAGGTTGGAAAAGTGCTCATTCAAGCAATTAAATATTCTCTCTCCTCCTAACAAACTGAAACTCATATCAACTTCCTGATGACACATTAAAATGTAAACAATTACTAATCTATTTATCAAGTGAAGTTGATCATAAATAAAACAAGAATGCATGGAGATAATCCTAGGTGTTTTGTGTTTCTCTAGATGATACACATCAATCGAATTTCCTTATTAAATTATAATATGGATTCTATTGAATATATTTAAAATAGACGAAATCTGGTGGTCAAACTATTCAAAAATGTATCTTGAAAGAATGGGCAATACCTAAATGAATGTCTCTCAGTTTATTTAAAATTATTATTTCACAGATCTTACTTATCTTTTTATAAGTTCATTTTATATTACAAAAGACCTAACACCTTAAAATTAGGTTAAAGTAAATTAACATCTAAGTAAATTCAATGATATGAAATAGGATCTTTATGATATAAATATATTTAGATTTTAAAACTCGATTAGTATGGATAAAATAAACTTTTGAATATCAGTCATTCTATTTACGGATAAATTATTTATCACTATGTTATACTAATATTGTTGGATTAGTTTTTGTTTTTGAATAGGGTAAGTTTAAATAAACATGATTGAAATTATGGCGTACTGGATGTTAAGAAATTTCACACCTGAAATTGTGCTTTAAATCCAGGCTCATCCCAACAAGGAAATACACGTCTAGCATCAGTTGGTTGAAGTTGACTAGTTGCAAGATATCTGTAGAAAAAAACAACAGAAATTGAATTTATATATGTAAGAAAGAACTAAATTAGATGAATGTTAATCGTGAATAAATAAGCGAAAAAATGAATATCTGTTCATTTAGTCATAAGTTATATTCTTACAGAATGAAAGAATCATGAATAAGAAAAACAATAGAGTGTAATAAATCTAAAGTTAATATTTAATTTACATTCCACCTGTTGATTCAACTTTGTAAGGAAAGATTTTCATATATTGTACACTGATACTATTTTTAATGGACAGGTTTTTGCTGGAGTTTTGTTCTCTGAGCTGGATGGTTTTGTCGTGGAGCTTCAAATAGAACTTCAAATAGAAGTTTGTGCTGATGATGTCGTTCAGAAGAACGACCAAACCATTCAGCTCAAAGAACAAAATTCCATCAAAATCATCCACCTGAGCTACAAATCTTCTCCACCATCTCAATGGACAGGTTGTTAACTGAAACTAATGAGGTTCGTTACAGTAAGTGATATACTCCATAAACATGTATGAACATGTTGCTAAGTGGATTTATGACTTTTTTTCGACGAAATGTAGTAAGTTAATTATTATAGTTTTATATAAGCTTAAAAACATTAATACAGTTTTGTTTACTTTCATTATCTTATACAGAATGATTATCAACTAGTGATGTTTGTATTTGTATTAATAATTATAGGTTGTATTTTTAAACAGTTCAACGTTATGGAACACAAATCAGTACCAATATTGTTAACACTGTGATGTTGTCTAGTTCTTTTATGTACATATCACACCATTAATGATACCAACATTAATAACTATTCAAAATGCGATTAAATAACTATGTAGTATCATTCTTTAATGTTATATCTAGATGCTTAGATTCCTAATGTGCCTCGTATAACTTGAGCACTCGAACGCTAGAACCCTCATAAGTCGTAAATGAGAAGACAGAAGACAAATGAAAGGAATGTTATTCCAAACAGTGTCAATTATGGTACAAAACTGTCAAGTATTTATAGTTTTTAGTAAAAACGAAATCATCATTATAGTTATCCAATCCCTACACACAGGGGATTTTTAGCATTTGTCCAATAGGAAAGGTGCAGGTAGGGATTCTGGAATGTTCTTCAAAAAGATGATTGTATGGGATATATTCGACTCTTTCTGAGCTTATTAGAGCTTCACTCGTGGACCGTTCTTACATTTAATAATATAAACTCCTTTAGATTAATGAATACAAATAAACGTGATAAATAAGGGGATCGCATGTTCTTTAAGTCTTTCATTAACTAGCAGATACTAAATTAACTTTCATCAAGTCACAGCATTTTATTACTCACAAACATAGTGATCTTTTCTAGAGTATGATACATTAATTAATTAGAATTTTGAGAATCAAAAATGAAAAAGGGACGTTTATACAGTACGATAGAAAATTGATCCTATTTAGGGTAGTTTTACCAATCAGTTATTGTTAAAATGGACGGTTTATTTGTTATTACAACAATAACAAACATATATTTCTGATATGCTTTCGCCATTTATACATAACATGTATTCCTTTAAATAATATATCAACTGATTCTAATCGGTAATGAAAACCCCATGTGAATTGGAGTTAATCTTTAAAAAAGCCTGTCAACCATAACAAAAACATATACTTTTTGCAAAGTCTTCATTTCAAAATCGTTCAATAGCCTATGAGACTTCTAGAAAACATCATACATCTCATGGATTTCAATTAAACACTCCATCGCTATCAGCAAACTACAACAATGTTGTACTTTGCTTAAAGACTGGAAGCAATGGGTATGCTACAAAAATCGATTTAAAGTAATCAGCCATATAAACGCATGTATAAGAATTAAGCAAAAATTATCACTTTCAATATAAGGAACCGTTTTCTCTTTATAAATATATTTTTCTAACCAAATGAAATGTTAATACTTCTTGTATAAAACAAATGAACTGAAATTAATCTGTTATTATTTCTGATTAAAACTTACTTATATGTTCCATTTTCTATATACTTGCTCAAATACCAACCTTTCAATTCATCGTTTAAAGCTGAACGAAATTGTCCAAACGTTAATTCATAATAAGTAAAAGGTTGAAGTGAATGTACCAGTTCTATTCTATACCATTCTAAATCTTCTTCATAAGAAATATTTTTAAGATCAATATTACCATTTGGATTACCATCATCACTTAGAATAGATATCTAAATAATAAATAATATTTTTAAAGAAATGTTTACATATCATAAATATTTACATGAATTACTTTCAAACCATTTTATATAGTCATTTATTATGATACATGTACATCGTTGTAACTTGTCAGTTGTTGATTAGTTCTTTTCCGCTTACAAATTGAAGAAGTTTTAAAATTAGTAAGTTAAGAATTGTGTTTTATTCCAACGAAGTGTTAGGTATTCGTTAGTAACTAAGAGGACTTCAATTATGGTTTTTTGTATTATTCAAATTGATTCTATACAAATAATGACAGAAATGAAACCAAGAATATAAGTAATTTTCATTAGATCAATACATAAAATGATCCTTGATCATATTCAGTTCTGTAAACCATAAACATATCTTTATAAAGGTAATGAGGTACAAACTAATCAATAAAATGTAATCAGTTCGTTTATATATTCACTGTAATTAATTAGTATTCCAATATAGAAATGTGGTCACAGATTATCTTTCATCATTATTAAAAACGTATTTAATTTATAAATAATAAAAAGTCTTGCTGAATTTAAAAAAGAATATACAGAAAAATCTTTGATTATAGAATTAGTTGAATAATCATTCATTTTGACTAAACAATAATTATAAATAGAATAAATAAATAGTATATTTGTAATATCCCAATGAGTAGAAAAATGAGATTTTCTAACGTTTCGTGACTCGGTGTAAGGCACTTCTTCAGAGAATAAATAACCAAATTTATTTATTCTCTGAAGAAGTGCCTTACATCGAGTCACGAAACGTTAGAAAATCTCATTTTTCTACTCATTGGGATATTACAAAAATACTATTTATTTATAACATTCTACCCAATGCTCATTCTATTCGAAATTATCAAATCAAACCTAGGTAATGATACCTCTAAATAGAAAAGTTATCTATGAATAAACAAATCATTATTTCATTAAAACAAACATTTATATTGATGTAATAATTTAATTAAACTATTTAGTTATAAAATAATGTCAATTAGATATTTTACAATACACATATTACTAACAGCATACCAACTATTTAAAATGAAAAATTTATAATTTTCATCAAATGAAAAACTCTCCTTATTGATTAGTAAACTTAAAAAAAAGGAATAAATGAAATACAAACTGTATTCATTTGAATTCGATTCAATTTCATTTTCATTTTTATAACCATATGGGATTGTTGCAGTATATTATGTTGTGCTTTTTGTTCTTGTTGTGGATGTCGTTGTTGTTGTTGTTCTTCTTCTTTTTCTTCAACATTGAATCATTGTAACATTCATGGTTAAAATAAAATCTAATAAAATTCATGAAACATTGGCGACATCCAAATTTTCATCAGGTATATATGTTAAAACAACAATTGATTTCCAGTTAAACACAGATATATATACATATATAGGTACACATAACTTTTGTTTCTTTTCCCAATACATTTTTTTTTAAAAACAAAAGAAATGTAACTCAATAAAACAGATGTTTAAATGTAGTCAGAAAAAAAGGAAGAAAAACAATGAAAAATTTTTCGTTTATAAATCAATACAAGAACATGTTTTTTTTTCTTCTATCTTTGCATAGAGTTATACTGATGTTTGTGATTTAATGTTTAGCTCTTTCATTGGACTTTTTCAAAGTTATAAATAAGTAAAGAACAACAACAAGTATTACATTTTTAATTGAGATCATGGATCGATTGACGTTAGAATACCATTGAAAACCTGGAAGTACTTGTCAGCCGCTTAGTCCTATTGCAGGACTCCTCACCAGTACGCATTAACGATCTCTCTGAAGGAATTCGATCCCAGGGACTTCACACACGAACGCATAACCTACTGGATCACTAAGTCGGCATCCAATAGTGTTAATATCTATCCCCAATCAATACACGAAATTGCATTGAGCGTTCACGCGCGAGACTGAAGGCCCTGGACTGGAATCACACAAGTGGAATTGTGGATGGGCATTGCTGAGGAGTCCCACATTAAGAAGAAACGGCTGTCCAGTGCTCCCAGGTTTTCAATGATGGTCTAACATTAATCTCAATTAAAAACTCAATAATCTCCACAACCACTATACTGATAATAAAAATTACAATTTACATTCTATTTCATTGAAACATTCCCGTTTTGTTAACTAAACACATGTAACATTTTATAGTTTTAACTAAATAATAATCGATATACCGTACAGTTTCTACAGCTTGATGTTTGTTAGCCATCAACAGTTGAGTATAATTTATTATACTAATGAATATATAATTCAAGAGAATAATGAGATTCATAAGGTTAGTAAGTGTTCAACTGACAATTTAAACATAATTGTTTTCTTTTTATTTGATCATAAATATTGTAGATGAAAATATGAAAAGAGTTTTGAATTGTTATTTACGAAATTATATAACAGTGATTCTATCGATTGGTCAATCTTTAATGTAATAAACATGTCAATAATGTTCAAAATACTGACAGAATTTAACAATAACATGCTGGTGAAATATACATATTTTCCCAGATTGTTAAATAGTGATATTATTGTGTTATAAATTTATATTCATTGAGATGATGTTTTTCTTTAAAATTAAATATTCATCATTTCTGATGTTTTGTCAGTAGTATTTGTTATAACTTGTGGCCTGAGTGCCCTGCTAATGTATAATCTAATGACACCGCCAATTAGAGAGCAGTGGATTATAGATTGGACCAATGATGCGTAAACCCTTACGGGCAGTCTAGAGTTCTTATCGGTCCTACTTACCACCTTATGTATTTGTACCACCTGCCCCAGCCTGTTAAGTCCAGAACACTAGTCTTAGCCTCTACGATATGGATCGTTTAATTCAAACATACTGGGTTTATATACCAACCAGACAGACCACATAGTATCATAAAGTAGGAAACAACATTTATACAAGATTGAGCCAAATGTGGCCGTGAATGTGGGAGGTAGTAATTAATAGACAGGGAATAGTTCATGAATGGTAAATCGTATAATAATAGTTCATAGGTCAAAATAAAGCTCATAATACGATGGACATGAATATGAATAGTTTAGTTACTTAACAATTACACGATAAAAATATACATATAGTATTGGTCCATAAATGGATCCTGAAAGTCACCATTCATTATACTTATCGGAGCATAACAGTATTGCAGTGAATAAGAGCACTAATGTAGGACAACCAAATATATTTGGACTTAAAATTACAGAATCTCTTACTAAAATCTGAGGACCATACAGTAAATACTTCATTTTCAAAATGTAAATCAATTCTTTTAGACTTGATTGTTCTTTTGTTCCCCCACCAATCATTCTCTGTTCTCGTTCTCTTTTCTTCGATCATCTTAACCTTCTACCACCAGGTATTTCATTTTCGATGGATTAATATATAACTTATAATTATCGACATCAGTAGTATACACTGTAGTATAACAATTTCATTGATAATGTATTCTAATTCATTTGAATTGTTATTACTTATGAACTTTTATCAAATTTAATAGTAGAAATAAATAAAACAGATTCATTCTGGATTATTATTTTCAAATTGATAAATACTTAAATAAATTAATTTAAAATTTATATATATAAATTAATAATGAAATATATAACTTACACTGATTTTATCTAAGCTAATATTTAAACGACTATGAGCATGTACAAAGAATTGTTTAGTAGATATTGAACAATAAATTTTGATAGTAACAGATCCATTAAAAAAGAATGTTTCTGGTTTGCCTTGATGTAAATGTACTTGAAGTTTTAAATCATAAAAACTTGGTATTACTGTATATGGTAATCGTACATCTTTCATTGATCGATTTGATAATGATTCAAGTGCTCGTTGTAGTAGATCATCTGTTACATTTTCTAAATAAATTCAAAAATAAAATAATACAACTTACAAATAAATTTTGTAATGTCTTTTTACTGTTTAACTTAATGAAACTTGACAATTATGAGAAAGTGTAGTATTTATGAATCTTAAATAAAACATTTAACGATCTATTTCGACCATGTATAATACCAAATCAACGTTTAAGAGTTTACAGTTTAAGATTTCTCTAAGTTAAAAAGTTATTATTGAAATGATTATTATTATTATTCTTTTAAAACTCAATTGATTGTTAATTTTCAAATTTAGCTAGCACTCTGAAATCATTATTCTACTGCAGTTCCTCGAATTCTCAGTAACTATTTAAAGAAATAAAAAGTAGTATAAATAGATTCATATGTATAGACTGTATTTAATGAATGTCCATTTTAAGTCATCCAACTATCAGGATTCAGATGCTATTTATTCTCCCTATAACATATAATCGGTTAGAATTTTAGTCTTTGTTGGAGTTAACTTTAAATAATATATCTAAATATATAATACTCTTCAGTAAATGAAAATAAATGGAATCAAAGGATAAAGCGTGTATTTCAACTAGAATGACTGTTAAATTCATTATCGAACTAACAATTACAAAGAAATAATGTTCATAGATGATTGAATTGTATCAAAATAAACAAATAGAAACGTACAAAGCTAAATTCACTACTTATATAAAATATAGCAAAACCATTCACCGATCATGTCAGGTTTAATACTCAATTATGAAATTTATTATACTTTATACAAAACAAGACAATCTATAATCTTTCTGTCTTGTGATTATGTTTTATCTCCACTTTTTTTAAAATGCAGTTCCATATTTTATTCTATTATGATGGTAATTTTATTAAATATGTGTCTACTAAGTCTTTTATCACCATCTGAGCGTCATCAGTTCTACAACAGTTTAAAGTATGAAATATTTGAAGAAAAAAACAAATACTTTTTACTCTTTTAATTATTCCTAGGAATAGTAAGGTCTAACACCAAACAAGTCCATCTTTACAACCCTGATCCGATTGGTTTGAATTATTTTTTTCTGGTTAGCGTTTTTTTAGCGAGTTAGTTTTCTACGAGATGGGGTCGCTAATCCTATGCACAATCCTCCACCTTTATCCTGTCTTGGAACCGGCAGTAGACCGAGAGGGACTTCAGGCGGAGTATAAAAATTGATTGCACCTTAATAATTTTTAATAAAATAATATATTGTTTATTTTCATGTTATCAAGTACCTTAAAAAGAAACTATATTTAATGTTCAATCATTTGAAATTATCAGTCAGACCTTCGTTGTGATACAGATGAAGATAATACATCTAGTTAGCTTTATGCTCTCAATCTAAAGTGAGAGAACTATTTTAGTTTAATCATATACTGTATTGTTGTTGCTTATTTTCAGAATTTTCTTATATTAGGAAGAATTTTCAGTATAATTTTGTTAATCATTACAATGATTGACTGTTATTATTTACTAATATCGGTTAAATACAATCTAACCTGAAATAAACATCAATCATGTGGTTTTAAGCTTTGTTTTTTATTTTACTGATTCTCTGATTCTTGTATACAACTTGCCCACTTATTAATGTTGTTACTGAGGTCAAGGCAGAAAGTAACTATGTTTATATTTGTCAAACAAATAAACAAACACATTGAGAGAGAAGCAAACATTAACTAGAAAAACAGAGGAACATTTTAAATTTACTAGTATTTGTTTTGACAAACGATGTTACTTGTACTAGACTAAAATCACACAATGTAAAGCAAATTTAGGTAATTCAAAATAAACCTATCATAAGCTACAGTAGTTTTAGCCACAACGCTCAATAACGTTTCTCCTGATTGTGGTTCATACACACATATTGACAAGTGAAATTCTCATTTAAATATTGTGGATAACATATTGAAGTTGTTGCGATCTCTAATCTGGACTAATCGACTGTGAAGTTTTCATTGCCCTTTTGAACAACATCACAGAAACTCAAACAGCCTCATCAAGAGCTATAAATATTCTTTACCGTCTTAAAATGACAGATTATCACTAATCAAGTTAACTTAGTCTTACTAGTATTAAAGTATCTTTAAATAATGATTCTTTTGTAGGAAGCCACATCTTAAAATATATTGACTCAGCAGTCTCTTAAACGTCTTATACACTTTGGCTTCAAGAGGTATTTTCATGAGTTCTAGTAAGAAGCACTGACCAGTGGAGTTCAACCAGATCTGTTGTGAGATAATAAATTACTGAAGACAATAGTGAATGTGTTACTCAATTTGGTGGATCAGTTGAAGTTAGACAACACCGTTGGATACTGGCTCAATGGTCTACACGTTAAATGTTCGCGCGGAAGACTGATATGTCCTGGGTTCGAATCTCGTGAGGTGGGATCGTGGATGCACATTGCTAAGGAGTCCCACACCAGGACAAAACGGCCTTGGACTGTATCCAAGTTTTCCACAGTGGTCTAGTTTCAATGAACTCATGAATTCAACAATTAAAATTTCTTTTTAAATTTAATAAAATTATTTCGAATTTACAACTTTATTTATTTATCAAGGTCATGCAAAATATAACTAATTTTTATGCATAATTAAACCTTTAATTAAATTTTATAATTCCGAAAATAAAACAAAAAAAAACTTTTTTTTAAAAAAATTATAATTAATGAATAAAAAAAAAGGGACAAAATAATAGAAAGTTCACAGGTTAATCAACAAAATCAAGATAATAACATAGTTTATATAAACCAATTGATAATTAGTTTAACATTGGTTACTAATTTATCTTTTTGTGTGTGTGTGTGTGTGGATATTTGAGGTCAAGTGATTTTGAGTAAACCAAAAGAAAAAAAAAACAAAAAAAATTACACAGACTGAAATGTAGATAAACTTGGATAATTAAAGTTTCTAAGAAAAGAAAAATTAATTCTTTAAGCAAAAGAATAAATTAAGTTAAAAAAATATACAAAATTGTGACAATTTTTTTAAAAATAATAAAAAAAAATATATAAAAATAAAGAAAATATCATCTTTTGCCATAATTATTTTTAATTATTATGTATGATTATCAGAAGGAAGTTTTTGTGGAGATTGTAGCAATTTCACTAGTTGAAATCATGAGTCAATTGAAGCTAGGTCACCATGAAAAACATGGAAGCAGAACAAGGCCGTTTTGTCCTGGTGTGGGACTCCTCAGCAGTGCGTATCCACGATCCCACCTCACGAGATTCGAACCCAGGATATATCAGTCTCCCGCGCGAACACTTAACGTCTAGACCATTGAGCCAGTATCCAATGGTGTTGTCTAACTTCAACTAATCCACGAAATTGAGTGACATATTCACTATTGTCTTCAGTAATTTATTATCTCACAACAGATCTGGTTGAACTCCACTGGTCAGTGCTTCTTACTGGAACTCTTGAAAATACCTCTTGAATCCAGTCACTACTGAGTATATGTTGATTATTATCAGAAGGGGTTATTAGTTTTATTTATCTTTAAAAAAAATTATTATAAGAAAGAAGATTTTATGGAGATTTTAGTAAGTTCAATAGTTGGATTCATGAGTTGATTAAAGCTAGATCGCTATGGAAAACTTGGAAACATTGGATGGTTGTTTCGTTTTTGTTTGGAACACCTCAGAATTGTGCATAAACGACCTTACCTGTCGGACTCGAACTCAAGACTTTTGATCTTACGCGTGAATGTCTAAACTTTGGATCAATGCTTCTAGGTTTTCCAATGGTGTTTCAGCTTACATCAATTAATGAATTTAACTATTAATTTTTTAATAATTGTTTTCACTTGAAAAGATCTTGCGAAATTAATTTGAGTAGAATAAGTTCACATATATATTCCCTTTTACTATTTTAACATATATAGAAACGAATAATGATTTGAAAACCTATACCAAATCATTGTACATTTTATCTCTGTTTAAATGATAATTTTATCCAAGTAATGTCTAAATATGTTTCAGTAACAATCTAAAATGAAAATATGGCGTGAAAGTTTTGAATAAGCCTGATACTTCAAATAAAATTAATAATATACTCTGTTAATAGAGAACTACCAATGAAATTTTCATTTTTAATTTACGTAATACTAAATTGTATTGTACATTGTTACATATATATAAAAATGAGTCAATACATTATAAGCTTTGATTATAATATTTTACAACCAGCTAGAATTTGTGAAGTTTTGATGTTTGTAAAGCAACAATATTAAGTTTTTACTTGAAGAAACTAAGTAACACATTGATAACATAATCTTTAGTAAGATTATAGCAAGTATTTAATTGCCCTTCCGTTTCTCATGAATACTATTATGATTTCTGGTTTAGACAATTTACAAGTTGTTAAATGTACATTCCCTATTGGTCGATATTTACTTCACTTGTTTAATATTGTGTAAATGTTGTTTTCTATTTTTATGGTACGATCTGGTATGTTTGGTTATTATATAAATAGAGTATGTCTGAAATACAATGATTCATATCTCAGAGGCTGTGACTTTCGTCCTGGACTCAACTGGCTGGGGTAGACAGGGAAGCAGGGTTAATCGGGACTCTAGGTCGTCCGTACGTTTTTACGTGTCACATTAATCCGATCGATGTAAAACGCTGCTTATTAAAACCTGCAGTCACACCCGTTACAACAAAATCATACTTTAAAAAGTCCGTATTTATTAAATATGAATATAAATCAACAAAATATCCCTCGCCAACTACGATTAGGTTATAACTTGACTGAAAAAAAACATTAACATTTTATGTTTCTGAAAATAATGCAAGATATTTGAAATCGTCGCAATGTTATGAACTCTTTATTTAATCATACTAACTCGTAACTTATCCGACCAAAAGTGTATAATCAAAAACACATAATACCTAAGTAAAATACTTATCTAAAATTGAAATTATTGACACATCGTTAAAGCAATCTTATTTAAAAAATAAACTTCTTTATAGAAAGAGATTAATTCCTTGAAAAATCTTGAATCATATTGCCAGGCGAAATGTTGAATGTACTTCATACTCATTCAATAAGATTTTTACAAATACATTCTTCCTCTTTAATGTCTCACAGAATAATAAGGTTAAACATTAAAACCCTTAGTTTGTAGCCGTGAGTACCTTGTGAGTAGACTGTTAAACTAGCTCAAATACTCACTATTCAAGTATAGAAATGAACCTACGATTTAAAATGATGTAAAAGTTCTTTATCTTAATTGTAAATATGTAGTGTAAACGACAGATTCAAGATACTACATTTTGCCTACATCAACCTTTAAATGAATCCAGTATTAAATGTTTTATGAATTAAATTATAAGAATTTTGTTTCCTACCCTCATAGAATTGAATCAAGGAACAGTTAAATTTGGATAAAAGATAAAGTTACTACTGTGATCTTCAGACTCCTTGCAAAATATTGTCCGATTATTAATTTAATAGATGTTAGTTTTGTTTTAAAAAAATGTTACTCTTGTTTCAAATAATCGAAATGAGTTCCATTTCCGTAAACATTATATTTCATTTGTCGTTTTCAAAAGGTGAAATATGTTCAATAACTTACTATACCGATAAAGTACTTGTTATCAGTACGATGTATTGCTCTGGAAACTTTGTAACCTAAAATTCTATCAATAATACAAAATTTAATAATTCTGTTTCTAACTATGCTATATGTTGCCAGAATAAAACATATCGCATAATGTTGTGATTTTCGATAGCTAACCCAGTTTTTAGTAGTATATGGATAATTAATTTTTCTAATCCATATATCACAAAATTTAGCTACTGACAAAAAGTCTAACAGTTTCTTTAATTCAATTGATGTTCACATAATAGAAATTAGGTCATCTATAGTGTCATTATAGTCAAAAATATGATATGTATAAATTGTACTGCTAAATAAAAGGGATTGAAATAATTTATATTTCCATTAGAAAAACTGGCGAAACTCTAATTTAAGGACGAGCCTATCAGAGGCGTTTTAGAGATTTCAAGGTTACGGCGTCAACTTCAGTCCTTTATGCTAACGTACGTTCGGTTCACAGGGAAATTTTTACGAAACGTGATAACTGAGCAGCTATAACAAATAAAACGGTCAAACTATAATTTGTGGACGAATCAATAAGGTATAAGATAAAAGATCTCGGATCTTAACGCGAAAGCCTTTCATCCACTTGACTAAATAAATTTCTGGAATTATAGATGATGTCAGTTCATGATGAAAACCCCACATATAATTCCTAAGTAAGACAAATTACGACAATTATTGTGAACTGGATAATAACAGCACCAGTAACACTGGCTGAAGCCAGGTCCTACAATATATTCGGATGTTTGGAGAACGTACAGACTCCTACATAGGCTTATTTACGTGCATCGTGTCGTTATCCACAAGCAGCATTTTGTGCACTCAACAACCGGAGTGCACATAAACAATATTGAGACTATGTGGTCGAAGCTGAAAGAGTTTTTGAGACTTTATCATGACTCCAGAGGCCGAATATTCTGTAGCTGTATGGATGTTTTCCCCTACGATTTTACAACCGCTGAACTTGTTTCTAACCTTAAAAAGTTTTGAACCACGTGTAAGAAGTGCATCCACTTTATTCCCTTGGTTTTGTATAACATCTTTTTACTCTATACAGACTATTTGATAATATTTCTCAAGACCACTTAAAATTCGTTCAAAGGCCGTCCATAAATTAAATTCCCGCCGAAAAACTAAACATTTCATAAAAATCAAATGTATAAGCAATAAAAGTGGAACATGAAATCAGCTGTTTGTTTAGGCTTATTAAACTTTATTACAATTATTTTTTATGGTAATCATTCATGCAGTTTGCATGTAATTACACCCATCTTTAAGTTATAATATATTTTAATAGATTACCAATAATACACTTATTTATTAATTTTTATTTGAGTAATAGAATTGATAACTTACTTACTTACGCCTGTTACTCCTGATGGAGCATAGGTCGCTAATTGGTTTATTTTTGTAAAACTCAATTGAAGTTTATTTCGAGATGAAAAATTAAGTAATATAGTGAATAAGAAATAAACTTTATAATAAACTCATTTGAATTCACTTTCCATGTAAACTCTGAAAACAATACACTGCATTTTAGTACTGAAAACATGATAAACAACTGTACCTGTCTAGTTCATTATGAAATTCACAATGATTTCAATCATTAAAAGATTTGTATTGTTCGAACTTGGATAAGACTGTACAACTAATTAAATCTTGTTTCATAACTTTCATCAACTTACATAATCGGTTAAATTCATTTTAATGGTAAACTAGCAAATGTTCTAAGATTTAATGAAATAAAAAGGATTAGGTTGACAAGAATATACTTGATGATACATATATATACGACAAACAATGTCGTAGTAAAAACATTTCTCAGATTGAACTCATGAGTCAGTTGAAGCTAGACCACCATTGAAAACCTGGAAGCACTGGACGGCCGTTTCGTCCTAGTATGGGACTCCTCAGCAGTGCGCATCCACGATCCCGCACCACGCAGAGCTCGAACCCAGGACCTACTGGCTTCGCGCGCGAGCACTTAACCACTAGACCACTGAGCCGGCATACAACGGTGTTAATGTTTAACTTCAATCAATCCGCGAAGTTGCGCCACCGTATACCATTGTCTTCAGTGAGTTCCTATCTCACAACAGACCTGGTTGAACTCCACTGGTAACGGCTTCTCACTAGAACTTCGGGAGTTTTTCCTGAAGTCAGTCACTAGTGAGCAGTTGATCATTATCAGAATGGGTTTTGTGGAGATTTTAGAAATTTCACAGATTGAATTCATGAGTCAGTTTTTAATGGTGGTCTAGCATCAACTGGCTCATGAGTTCAATCTGTGAAATTTATAAAATCTCCACAAAACCCATTCTGAAAAACATTTCTGTTTTACAATCATCCTAAATGTGATTTATTAAATCTAATCAATAATTTCAGAAATTGTTCAGAAATGGTAAAAACAAGAAAACTGCTTTGCTCACCTGAAGTACAAATTTCATCAAGCTCATTACATTTTAAATGATTGATTTCAGCATCTAAATAAAACAAAGAGTAAAATAAATGGGAATATGATGTAAACTATAGATCAATATAAAACGTTTGATTTACCTTCTTCAGAACAAAATAATTATGTAAGTTGTTGAAATGAAAGCGCATAAAGTTTCAAGCACACATGATGAAATTGACATATCACTCAGGGTATCAAGTTTATTCATTTGGTCTATACATTAAACTTGAAACTAGAAAAACCTTTCATTGTATAAAATATAAATAGAACTATTTATAATATTTCTTAAAGAAACAATTTACAAAGTTGTAGAATCCACTTGGATAATGGTGAAGATGGATGGTGGTTGGCAATGCAAATCAGGGCACGTATTTCGTCCTAGCTGGGACTCGTCAGGTAGATTTACATGCATCCAAGAGTTGATGTTTACTCCAGGACTCAAACCCAGTACCATTCGAATCAAACGCTTTTGCATTATCTTCTTAGCTACTGAGTCTTGACAGCCACTTGCATGTGCAATGGGGTAACGTTTCCTTTCATTTTTTTCAGAAAATAATAAATGGAGAATTTCAAATTGAATAGTGAAACAAATCTCGAAATCATTTAAAAGCTGGTCTTAGATAAGTATGAACACTAACTTCAAAAAACTAAGTGACTTCCTTCAATTACAGACTTTAGTAAATCTCATTTTCTATCTCGAGAATAACTCCAAGAGAATGTCCTGAAATTTCAGTGAGTAGCCGACAACAATGATGAAAATGTATTTAACAGAAATGAGAGATGTCAATGGCGAAATCTTTAATGATCGCACAATATCACAAACAGGCTGAATTGAGAAAAGTCAATGGATGGATTTTTACTTGATAGTTCAAATGTATCATCCTAAAAAATGAAAATCTTACAGTTTTGTATTCGATTTCTTGTAAAATATTTGATGAACAATACCAAGAAGCTTTGCACAAGAAAAAAAAACAGTTTGTTATCGGTCTCTAGATAATGTTTCTCTTGAAAAAGGGTCATACAATCAGTAAACTTTATTACATTTAACGACATTTTATACATAATTGATAATGTTTGCTAATCACCATTTTGTGTATCTATGATAATCATGAATAATTCCCAGACATCATAAATCCTTAGAAATTCGTTTAGCAAATATTTTTCGATAAAATCAATATTTTTTGTTAAAAAATTAAACTTAACCTATAAAAACTAGATAAATAATTCAATTATAAAAGTTCTCCTATATTCCATTAACCTTCATGATAACTTTGTACTATTCTTTTTCAGTTCACTTAATTTGAATTTTGATCGTTTTCTAATTTATTTTTTTAAGACTTAAGCTTAATCTACAAGATCTATTTACTTTAAGCAAACAATTATTATTTACTGTTCTTTTTTTATGAAACTCTTTGATCAGTATTTGAATGTATTATAATCAGTTAGTGTTTTCCTTATAAGAGTAGAATCAAATTTTTTGGAATTACGGGTCAATTAAAAGTAGACCAGCGTTGAAAACTTGGAAGCACTGGACGGCCATTCCGTCCTAGTATAGGACTCCTGAGCAGTGTGCATCCACGGTTTAAATCGGATTCGGGCGCGAGACCGATAGGTCCTGGGTTCAAATCTTGCGAGCAGCAGTCCCATACTAGGAAGAAACGGCTGTCCAGTGCTCTCAGGTTTTCTATGGTGATCTAGTTTTAGTTGACTCATGATTTCAATTATTAAATTATTATAATCTCCACAAAACCCCCTTTTCGATAAGAATCAGATTTAATAAAAAATTAAATTGGAAAAAAGTCATCTACTTGAATAATTAACAAGAATTTTTATCAAGTAAATTTCGCATCATTGATGAACACAGTGGAACTGATGAAGATATGAATGCGCGGATCGGCAAAGCAAGAGCAGCATATCTATAACTGAAGGACATCTGGAACTCAAAACAACTGTCAACCAACACCGAATTCAGAATTCTCAATACAAATGTCAAGACAGTTCTCCTGTTTGGGGCAGAAACCTGAAGAACTACCACAATCATCATCCAGAAGATACAAGTGTTTATTAACAGTTGTCTACGCAAAATACTTCGAATCCGTTGGCCGAACACTATCAGCGACAACCTACTATGGGAGAGAACAAACCAGATAGCAGTGGAGGGAGAAATCAGGTAGAAGCTCTAGGAGTGGATATGACACATATTGAGGAAAGTACCCAACTGCGTCACAAGGTAAGCCCTCCCATGAAATCCTGAAGGTCAAAGGAGGAGAGGAAGACCAAAGGACACAATACGCTAAAAAATAGAGACAGGCATGAGAAGAATGAACAAAAATTGGACAGAACTGGGAAGGAAGGCCGAGAACAGAGTTGGTTGGAGAATGCTGGTCGGTGATCTATTCTTTATTGTGAGTAACAGGGGTAAGTAAGTACTTAAAAGTAGCGTCAGGTACTAGGTTAAGCTCATATTGACTTATTCTACCTTCTGGATAAGGCCAATTTATTCACCTTACTTGAATCACATTTTGGCCTAGTTAGTTATTTACTTATCACTCTTGAGTTTTTTTATGAGTGTTTTTGTGTACATTTCGTTTCCTATTTATCACATGTCTGTAGCTTATTTCTATGTGACTGTAAATATCGGTTAACACTCGGGTAAATGGAATCAGCTCACATGCCTTCTCCATTGAGCATCATTTCGCTTCGCTCTCTTCTCTTTGCTTCATCCCTCCAATTGTCTGTCTAGATCAATGAGTGTACAAAATATTTGACTTAATTCTGTTGTTAGTATTATACAAGGATTGACGATATGTATATTTCAATAGCAACCATTCGTACAATCCAATCACTGTTAACACTATCTTTTAATGTTTTATCAATCTTCTTTAAATTATTAATTATTATTACATTGTGAATTAATTCCTCGACTTTTTCATACTCATCAAATGAATAATCATCGTTCATATATGTGACTTCATCTTACACAGTATTTAACTTCACGTTCATCACACAAATCTCTTTAGATGAGTGGAGTTTTCAAACATTTTGTTATGTAATACACCTTCCTTTTTTTTTACTAGACTACATTATTTGTGAAATTACTGTAAATGTAATTGTTTGGCTTGTTTTATCTTTAACTCTTCATTAATTAGATAATAAGTTACTTTCGTTAATTAAATATAAATATATATTGTTTAACATAAAAATTATTAGAAGATAATAAATTCAATATTGTTGCTATGGTTTTAAAATACATCTAGATTAAGACTGTCTAGGTCAAAATATTAAACCCAAAAACATCAATAAAGCAATTTAGTTTCAGTAAAAATAAAACCCAAATTTGTGTACCTTAAAATGAATCAACAACTGAATGTTTCAAATGTTTCAATAGATAGTTATCTTGTTTCTGTATTCAGTGAACATCTCTTTCTATGAAATATCTGTATGAACAGTTAGAAATGTCTATCCTATATTATTTATTCATACATTACATTCATAAAGTAAACGTACCATTCTGCTAGAATACTCCTTTATTTTTTACTACACTAATGTTTTTTTTTTCTCTGTCACGATTACATATCGATTTCATCAGCTGCTTTAAAAGAAACTTCTTAAAGTCAAGATAAAACTACACACTGATACAATCTAAATGTCACAATGTCGGACAAACGTTTAAAAAAGAAACAATCAATTGTTTTTGTTAGTGGTAGTTTATAAAAGATATATCACTACATTTTTGGATATTGTCTTTTTAATAAAGTAATGACCATTCGAATGATTTATAATTAATATGACGTAATAACTACTAATATCAGTTCATAAATAGAAATAATCAAAGTGTTCTACATGTCATATATATATATATATATATATATATATCGAAATTTTATTTTCTTCACTGATATATTGTAGAGTATAAGTAAATGTACTAGCAACGAAATATTCTACATTAAGAAATAAAATTTCTAATTCCCATGCACAAACATAAAATACATTTGACAATTATGCTTTTAATGCGTCATCATATTATGTAAATGATAAATGTCAAAATGACAATAATTTAGATAACCAATATATAGGACAATACGTATACATAATGTAATAAACTGATGAATGACTTATAAGGTTCATAATTCATAATCATTTAGCTTCTAAATTATTTTTAATTATGTTCAGTTTGTATTAAATATTTTGTATAAAATCTCAATTTCTTAAACAAAATGACTCGTTTTCAAGTTTTTACTAATCTTTACTTAGTAACTAACTATAAGTCAATAACTTGGATTCGTGAGTAACTATCCCTCACCCACACTATTTAGATGGTCGTACATATTTTTTTTTAAGAAACTCACAATCGAAACGGTAACTGATATTTGAGATATGAAAGAAAAGTCGTTGAAAATACTAACAGATTTGTTTATCAGTTATTTATTCTTCCTGAGTTACTTTTCGTTAGATAAATCCTTTGATTCTAGTCATTTTTATATTTTTATCTGTACAACTGAAAATTGAATGAAATGTTTAAATGAACAAAACCTAATTCATTAATGTTTTTGCTGAACTGATGATAAATATGTTAGTAAATCTTTACATGTAATTACTTATAGGTTTAGTATTTAATGAGTAATAACCAATGTCATGTTTATCCAGTCTTCAGTGTTAATTGAATTCTATTGATCATGTTGCAATGTGGTCACTGGAATGTATTATATGTTAGTGTTAGGTGGTTGACAGTTGTTAGAAGAAAACACTATACCTATGTTTCGAGTTAGTCGGTAAACGTTATTAGTTATATTTTAACATGACTGACAAAATCCGATTAACAATCAGAACTAGATAAACATGACTTTGGTTATTACTTGGTAACCAATCAATATCAATATATCATTACTACAGGAGGTCAAACTATTCCTTGGATAGCTTATTTGTAAATTCTGGAACTGTAAAACTGAGAGGCGTGGATTCATATAATATGGAAGACACGCTTTCACTCACGTTTACAATGACGCCTTGACAATAATTTCTAAATGA